GTCGCTGCAACATGCAAAATACACAGCCGCGCAGAGCTGTACAGTACCTACATTTGTGGGAGTTGGTGATGCCGTCACAGCCATATCTCGATCAAAGCCGACAACGAGGTGGCTGGTGGCCGACTAAACGAACGCTGTGGCTCACCACGCCTCGTCATCAGCCCACCCACCATCTTAGTCTGACACAAGACAGCCCCGATGTCACGTTGCGAGGCGAGACTTCCCCGGCCATCATCGGGGGATTTAAAATGGTTCTGTCTGTATTGGGCCACCGCACAGACGCTGTCTAATGTCGTCTTTTCCTATTCCATCGTAATGGTGGAAAAGTTAGCTTGCACATTGCGACGTTAGAGTTACCTCAAAGGCTACCCCAAGCTTGCTCTTCTGTTCGTGCGCGTCAGTACGCCGAGGGCCCGAGATGCCAGGCTCTGATGTTTCGACCCAGCTTGGGCAAACAAAATACGACGCTCAAGCAAGCAAACCACCATGGATGCGACGAAATACGACCGCCGACGCCCTCCAAGGTGCTAGCCGCCATGGGGGCCTGGGGGCTAGGCGAAACGGCATTCCGATGACAGCGTGCGTATCAAGTTGATGCTCACGATGCGTGCCTAGAGGTAGTAGGTCCGTTATGCGGCGAGCTGCATGCCTGATTCCACGCATCACATCCCGTCACACACTCATGGTTAGCCCTCTGTCTCTGCCATCGTGTTGCCTGCCGTGCCGCCCGGCCCATCACAAACAATCAATTGCAGCCCAGACAGTCGTCGGCCCAGAATCCCCGCATCACGATTGGCCCAAGGGGAAGTTTCGGGTGACGCGTTCTGCTTCCGCCGCCCCAGGCTAGTCTGCTTTGTGGCTGGCGAATATCCCGCGCCTGACGTCAGCAGGCGCCTTTCTCGTCCAATCGACACTTGATATGGATGAGTGCCTTTGTGGTTTCTCTGTTCGATAGCAGCGAGTGAATATTCAATGTCTTGGCGCTCGCCTTCTCGAATCTGCCACAGGAGACATCAAACACGCTAAGCCAATGTAACAGCAATCGCCAAGGCCAGCCATCCCACCTGCCTCTATTTTGGGCGGCGTAGCATAACCACCAGGGTCTGAAGCCTTCTCCAAAAATTTGCGGGCCTTTCCCGTCCCACTCTCCGCATTCTGCAGCGGCCTTGGGCCTGGCTCGACTCGAACCTGACTCGACTCGCTTGCTCCCTCGCAGATCTGCAACCTCGCCCATCCGTTCCCGTCCCTTGTTTTTTTTTTCGCCTTCCTGGTCCCAAATTCTCCACGCCAGCCTGATCGGCTCAAGGCTTGCTCGCCCGTCAGGCACGCACAGCAGCGCATGTACCCAGGTACCCGCTTTGAGAAAGCCATGCCCCCCAACCACAGTCCGTCGCCCTCACCGCCGCCCAGTGGTGCTCGGCGCCAGCTGGCCGAGAGTAATAATAGACGACCGTCGCCGTCGCGCGCCCGGAGCCGAAGCCGCGGGCCTCCGGCGAGGCAATCCTCGCTCTCTCCCTCCAGGTCTAGAGCTAGTTCCAGGTCCAGCTTCAGGTCCCGTGACCGCTCTCGATCTAGGGACCGTGACCGATCACGTTCCAGGGACCGTGGCACCAGCGGGAGGTCGCGGAGCAGGCTCGACGACGATCGGAGGAGGAGGCGGGCCGGCTCCCGCGACTCGCGTGCCTCGTCGTTTTCCTCGCGCTCTAGGTCGCGCTCTAGGTCGCGCTCCACGAGGCGCTTCTCCGGCGACGACTCGGCCGCCGATCGCAAGCCCCGCAAGGCGAAGGAGACGGCCAAGGAGAAGGAGGAGAGGAAGAAGAGCGAGCTCAAAGCCTCGGCCGGCTTCCTGGGCGCCGTTGCCGTCGCCACCTTTGCAGCCCACAAGCTCTGGCCCAAAGGTTACCTGTACGGCAGCAAAGAGGAATGTCAGTGATCCTACCCAAAATCCCGATCGGGTCCGATCCGACCCGCTGGACCGGGCTCGGGCCTCTTTTTTGACTTTTGAGGAAATTACACATGGCACCTTCATCGGGCCATCGGCCGTTCGCATGCTAACCTGCGTTGCGTTACCGTAGGGGAGACTCGACCTGTCCCGAAGAAAGTTAGGGAGGAAATCACGGAAAAGCGCGTCGAGATTCGTCAAGAGGTCGATAGACTTCGTGGCCACCGCCCCGCTGGCAATGGCGAGCTATCGCCCAACTCCATGTCGTCCACGGCTGCTACTTTTGGAAGTATAAGGGCTGGTGGTCAGGACATCGACCCCTTGAGGCGTCGCCCCGAGTTGCTACAGCGACCTGCCGGGAACAACGGACTGTCGCCAACTTCTATATCTTCCAATGCCGCCACTGTGGGGAGCAGCCAGATCGGCGGGCAGGAATTTGACTCCCTAAGACGCCACCCCGACTTCACTCAGCGTGACGACAACCGAGTTTACTATGAGTCTACTGAGACTAGGCGATACCCCGCCTCGGGTTACCGCCCTGACAGAGGCGGGCCGCTGCCACCACTGAGGGATCCATCCGACCGCGGCCCTACCTTTGAGGAACGCGAAGGCCGCCTGCTCGTCGCGCCGCCGCCAAGGCGCGACAAGGTCTTTTATTCAACGTCACCTGGGAGGGATCGCCACGATGATGCCCGCTACGCCGTCCCTATCGGATCCGAGCCTCGCCGGGCCCCATCCAACCGCCTGGTCCAGAAGACCAGTGAGGAGGTCCAGTTTGTGCAACAGTCGTCCCCCGCCCGAGCGACAGTGGAAAGGACCACTAGCAGCAGCAAGGTGCTGCTCGATGATGATCCCTACGCCCCGCGGGACATGGACCGGCCGTCCCGATATCTCGACGACGCTGGTAGGAAATACGTGGATGACAGGGACTATCGCGGCGGCGGGGCCGTCCGCGAGACCCGCCGGTACGAAGAGTATAACTCGGGCGAGCCATGTCGGGATCGGGACCGGGTCATGGACGACAAAGGCCAGCATGGCGATGTAGTCCGCGAGACGCGGCGGTACGAAGAGTTCACCTCGGGCGAGCCACGTCGAGACCGGGACTGGGACCGAGCCCTAGAAGACAAAGACCATCGCGGTGAGGTGGTCCGCGAGACGCGGCGATACGAAGAGCACACATCTAGCGGGGAGCCGCGTCGGGATAGGGAGCGAGACCGGGCCCTTGACGATAAAGATTACCGTGGCGACGTGGTCCGCGAGAGGCGACGATATAAAGAACATAGCTCCGGCGACGAGACGCGACGCTATGAAGAGTACAGCTCTGGCGGCGAGCCGCGCCACGCAGACGAAAAGGGCCACCGCGGCGCGGCGGTCCGCGAGGTCCGACGGTACGAGGAGCACACCTCGGGCGAGCCGCGCCGCGAGCAGGTGCGCCGCGAGAGCACTAGGGAGCTGCAGCACCGGTCGTCATCGCCGCGCAACCGCGTGCACTGGGAGCGCGAGGTGGAGCGGGAGGACGACAGGGGGAGCGGCGTCGAGAGGCACCGCGAGAGGCGCTCGCACCAGGAGCAGCGGCCCGCCGCTCCTGCCGAGTACGTCTCCCGGGAGCTGGTCGTCCGTAGCCGCCATAGCCCGGACCCCCCGAGGCGCGAGGCGGGCGAGGGGGCAAGGGGAGGAGGAGGAGGGTACAGGGACAAGGAGCGCGAGGCGTTGGCGTACCAGCGGGCCGGCAGGAACGCGTATCTGGGCAACGCCGACACGGTCTCCCCCGGGGCCGATCAGTGATGGGCAGGCAGAGGTGCAAGCTTTTTTGGATATGGCTGACCAACCCCATCTTCATGCATGTATTCGTGGCACACTGGATGCAGTGGGTGATACCATTTTGCTTTTTTTTTTTTTTGCCAGACTTGAAGTCAACTTGCCTACGCAATCCCATGCGCTTGTTTATTCCTGGCTTGAGCTGCTGCTGCGAACGGATACCACTTGGGCGATTTTTTTTTTATAGATTTAGAGCCTCTGGTTATTTCAAGGCCATTACATTGACGTGACCCCCCTCCACCCTGGCATAATGCTCCCTCTCGCCCTCTCGCCCATGCTCCAACGCATTTGCTCGTTACGGATTGCCATTGTGTTTGTCTAATACCATATCTCTAGAAAAGTCTACCTGGGGAGTTTCGGCACCCGCTGACTCGGTTTCATGTCCTCGTTGTAGCCTCTAGTACAAAAGTACAAAAAAAAAAATCACAGTCCCACGATGCCAAGACGGGTAAACGTCTATCAAGCAGGTACCCGTTGTGGCGATTTCCGACGGGGTGGGTTCACCAACAGCCCAAGCAAAACCCCTCGTGGGCTTTCCCAATTATAGCATCATCCATCCCACCCCGTCACGCAGCCAGCTCGTCGTCCGATTCCCTCGCCGGCTCCACGTCGCTGCTCTCGTTCACTACCGTGCCCAGCGGCCTCCTCCTGCCCGCCCTCCTCTTGCCGCCACCGCCCGCCCTTCCGGGGCAGGGAAGCGGCCTGCACTCCTCCTCTTCATCCTCCGACGAGCCTCGATCCATCGCTGGGCAGTCGCTGGCGCTGCCCGGACCCTGGCTGAGCGTGGCAGCCTCGGCGACGCACCCCCTTGGCGCGGTGGAGCTGACGAGGAAGGGGTTCAGGTCGGCCTTGAACCATCGCTCGGCGCGCGTGGTGCTGCGCTGGCCGCCCTCCATGGCTGAGTAGGCAGCCCGGGTCGTGCGCATCCTCTTCTTGGGACCACCGACCCCGCCCTGGCTCATGAGGCTGCCGAGCCTGAGGCGCTGCTGCTGGAGGTGGTTGTCGTATGCCACGATGCCGCGCACAAAGGGCGCGACATCGAGTGCTATGACCTTCATGGTGCGGTCCCATACCGACGGGTCGAGGTACGACACGGGCCCTGCGCCGGCCTCGTCTGCTGCTGCAATTGGGTCAAACGCCATGGCGAAGTCAAGCCTATTGACTGCCGGGGCCGATGGCGGTGTTTGCGTGATTTGCTTGTGCAGCAGGGCCGTCGCTTGGTCTTGGTGGAGAGGAGCAAGGTACTGGGCACAGTCGAGGTTGCGCTCGTCGCATCCACGCCATAGCAGGTGTCGAGAGAAACTCTTGAGGGTGATCGATAGGGAGGTGCTTATAGAGTCGAAGGAGGTGGTGGGAGTTGCCTCGAGAAATGTGAGCCCAAGCACGAGGTCGTCCTTGGCCTTGGTCGGGTCAGCAGGGAGTGTGGCATCAATTTGAAGCTGGCGCATGTCAGTACGGCGTGATGAGACAAATGATCTGGGAGTTGACGGGCCAAGACCTACCTCATGTGACCAAACCGGTGCCATGGCGGCGTTCAGGTCGGCGAGACTCATGGCATCTGCAAAGTTGTCGTATGCGTCCAGGGCCTCGAGTCTCCTGGCGGACGTGTCCGCTATGGTCTTGACCTCCTTGGCCCACGACTCCAATTCCGGGCAGTCCTGCCAGTTGCCGAGATCGAAGCCGCAGTTGTCCCAAGACTGCTGCAACAGGCCAGCCTCTTGGAGCAAGGGAGCCGAGCCTCGGTCGCTTGCGGGCTCTCGCCCAAGCCATCCCATCCCCTCCTCGTATGTCCCCTCACTGATCACACGGATAACATCCCCGTTCTCGTCGAGGTCGATTCCCCTGGGCCACCGCAAGTAAAACCACTCGAAACCACCCCTTCGGTCGCCCACTCCCAACTGGCACCAGTAGTTGAGCTCTGTGATTGAAGCCCGCAGGTCTCTGCCTCTTGATTCGTATAGAGACTCGGTAGCTCGCCGTGTGAGCGCGTGGCCCTCGTGAGCAGCCATAATCAGCAATCGATCGACAGCCAAGTCAGCTGGAGGAGCACTGAAGCGAAAGATGCCGTGCAGACTGAGAGTTTGTAGTGGAACCAGAGCCTCGTCGTTGCAAGTCATGATGAAAGGGCGTTTAGACTGTGCCATCAAACCAATAACAGTCGACCAAAACTGCTTGTCCTCCTCGTACAGAATATCGACTTCTTCGAGAAGAATCAACGACTGTTTCTGGCTCCTGGGCGCAGCTTTTCTCGTCTCAGAAGGTTCGGCGGGAGAAGCGGTTTGGACTTCGGGCTGCGGCTTCATGGGCTTCGCCTTTGCTACAGCTTTCGGCTTGAAGAACGAGTTCATGGTTGATTGTTTCCCGGACTGGACCTCGGCGGCCACTTGCTCTTCGGTTGGCAGGCTGCTGTCTTTCCCGTCCCTGACACCAGCTGAGGCTCCGGAATGCTGTTGCTGGACCTGATGATTTCTAGTCATGTCACCGATCTTCTCGACGATGTCCTTGCCACTGCGGCGGCTGCTAGGGCTGATCTCAAACACCTCGAAGCCGAGCTCCTTAGCCAGGGCATACACAGCAGCACTCTTGCCGCAGCCGTGGGGGCCGCTGATGACAACCGCGTTTCTCAAGCGCGGGGCGTCCTTTGCACTCTTGTGCGAGCCATCCCCGCCCCGAACGACGGTCTTCTTCGTAGCCCAGTAGCGGTGCGTAAGAGACAGCTCGCCCTCTGACTCTGAAAGTTTTCCCATCTCGTCGGCTTCGTCGTCACTGGAAACAACGAATCCGTCGAGCTTGTTCCGCTTCCTTTTCTTTTTTGCGTCCTTCGACCCGTTCTTCCCTGACGGAGCAGAGCCGTCGGTAGCACCCGTGTCGACGGTTTGTACCTTAAGGGACACAAGCCAGTCCCTGAGAAGGCCCATCTCCCTTCCGGCCTGAAGCACCTCCGCGGCTGATGCAGGGGCAAACTTTTGGGCCCAGGCGAGCGACTCGCATTGCGATCGATCGTGGGCAGAAAGGCTGGTCTTGATCGAGTCGAAGAAGTGCGCCATGCTAGGGCTGCTGCCAAGTGTCCGTAGGTGCCCCCTAACCCTTTGCTGCAACTTCCGCCCGCTCTCACAATGCTTGTGAGGGAGCCGAAGCTCTATTGGTGGCGGGAGAAAGTCATCCGTGTTGATATTTCGGACCTCGTCAATTATGGCTGGGATGTTGAGTGAGGACGCTAGCTCGGACACGACTGATTCCTTTTCGCCGACGGCAGTCGCATTTCCTTTGGACTTTCTGAGAGGGAGTTCAAGATCTGCGATGCCAGGGCAAAGCGGCAAAATGTCATCACGGCCAACATGTGCCGTGCCCTTCCATGGCCACGCTGGGTGGCGGGCTCCTGGCACCTTGACTCCGCTGTGCTTGATTCCGAACGTGGGCTGACATGTGCTCGGAGCACGAGTGCCATCGAGAGTACCACCACGCGGCCTCTTCGGTGAGGATGGTGCGGGCGGTGTTGGCCTGCACTCCTTGCTTTCCGCCACCAACTCTGCCCTCTCGCTCTTACCCATAAAAAACGGATGGGGGGGTCTTGAGATTTTCGGTTCCCGGATTTGTACCGTCTTGGCTAGCTGAGCCGCACGGGCAGGAGCAGTATCACTCTTGTCCGGGGTTTCGGGCAAGCCTGCCTTGGTTGGAGAAGGGCTAGCGAGAATATCGTTGATCCTAGTTCCGATTCTGACGCGTTCGTCATCTTCCAGGCCTTCCCCGTACCTCGTGCGGGCAATCAAAGATCCCTGCTTTGCTCCTCGCCCCTTCGGCGTTTTCGCCCCTAGTCCCGGCTTGAGTGACGGAGCCTTGGGTTTCGGTGGTGATCCCAAGGTGCCTGACTTTGGGTTGAAAACGAGCATTTTCTTGGGTTTTGCGGGTTCTGACTGCGGGGGCTGAGTGACAGTGGCCTGGACAGAGGTCACTGAGGCGGGTTCCAGTGGCACCCTGGTAGGAGCAACGTTGCCCTGCTCCTCGCGCGGCTCGGTCGTTGCGGGTTCGTCGGCAGCTCCCGTGCACCCATTTTGGATAGCGCCCTCCGTGGTCTTTTGCTCCAAACATTCCTCTATTGGTGAAGGAGAGGACTTTTGGATCTTCCTTGGTCTCCCACGCTTCTTCTTTCCGTCGGTGGGTTGAGCCTCAGCCGCCTCCGATTTGCGTTTTCTTCGCTTCGGCGCACTCTGGTTCGGTGCTGAGGATTGGTCGTCGGAGGAGGAGGTCGAGGTCTGAGGGGTATATGAGATCGGCTCCGTTGCGGCCTGGGCAGCCCCCGCGGCGTCGGCGTCGCCCTCCAAGTTGTTGGCAGGGCGAGGGGCGGAGAAGAAGGGGTGAAGCTTCTTGTCGGGTGCCGCCTCCCCTGCTTCCATTATCGGAATAGGAGGTGCCACTTGCCGTTCGAGAAGAACAGCCATTCCTACGCAGATGGCCCAATCCAGCTGCTCCCCAGCGATTTAGGGTTGCCAGACAGGCCTGCGTGCTGGCCTACGTACTGGTCGTCGAGGTTCGGTCGAGGGGGGTGGCAGTGTATCGATATGAACAGGCCTGGAAGAACGAGTCGGGATAAAAGCGTCAACATATATAGGACCAGTATATGGTACTGAGTGCTGCAATTACAATAAGTTGGAGAGAAAACAAGCTGTTTAGGTGGGTGGGTGTGCGGTGTGAGAGTGGTTGCGGCGACGGCAGATCAGGCAGTTGCTCCTTGATTGAAGCGCGTTGAATCGCGTCTGCAGCTCGCACATCCCACCCACTGTAAATCGCGACTTTGATGGATGACGCCCCGGAATCTGGAGCGCGGACCCCTGCAAGGTCAAGGCCAGGGGGTCCAGCGCCAGATTATGTCAGCAAGAAGTTCGAAAGAGTGGGTTCGAGGTTCCCGCATTCTACCACTCAAATGAAGCCGATAAAAGATACGGCATCGGACCCCACTTGAATTGACCCTGCACTCTGGAGGATTTTTTTTTTTTGGCCGGCGCCTCGAGAACTCAGCGCAACGCCGGAAACCGTATCGCAAGCCGATTTCACCGGCGCAACTTTTCTTTTTTTGTTCAGTCAGTCGGATCGGCGCGCCGTAGCGAGGCGGGCGGTGCAATGGCGTCTCACTTCAGAATCCAGAAGCCATACGAGCTGACCTCGCTCCCCAAGACGCTAGACCAGACGGTCAACACCTATGCGGTTGGAGAAGTGTTCGGCCAGGCCCAAGGGTCCAAGAAACGAAAGCGCCCGGAGCTGGCTGTTGGCATCAACGGCGAGGCGCTGAACATATATGATGTTTGTCCCCTGCCGACACAAGCAATGCCGCCTGTAGTCTGTTGCTAACAGCAGCTTTAGGCCCCTTCGTCGAGACTGATCACCTCATATCCCGTCCCCCCGCAAGCTTCCTTCAGCTGCCCACCCCTGTCGCTGAGATATAAGACTTCCGACAAAAATATCACGAGATACACCTACGCTTCCACCTTGGAGCCAAGGCCCAAGCTCTCGCTGTACAAGGATGCCCTCGGGGCTGCCGGGGGCAGCGCTTCGACTAGTGTCTCCCATCCTCTTCCTCGATCGTGCCGTATCGTCCACCTTGCTTCGACATCCGCCGCAAAATCCGTCCCCTCTCATCCAGACCTCATTGCCGTCGCCAAGACAGGCGCCGTCTCCTGTTTTGATGGCGAATCGCTCGAGGAGAGGTGGTCGGCAACTCCTGCGGCGCTCAAGCAGGACACGGGGCTGACTGCCTCGGCAGAGTTGCGCATCGATCTTGCGCAATTAGCTTCCGTTGCCGACGTTGTGCGCGGCCTGTTTGGGGGGAAAGACGACTTAGTGAAGCTCTTTTTGCCAAACACTGCAGAAGATGTCGAGAATGCCGACCTCTTGGTTCTGCTCTCGACGGCATCAGTGGCCGACAAGGAGGTCCGCCATGTTCACGTCGCTGCGATTCCGCCACCAACCCACGGCAGCACGGGTGGCAGCCAGGGTGTCATACAGATTTTTGCCGCGCCCCTCCCTGCACGAGCATCGAGCTCCGAAGAGCCCCCCATCTACCGTTTCGACCTCGCGTCTGGCTCCGTCACTGAGCTTTGCGCCGAGACGGTTACGACTTATGACATCTCGTCCGCTGTCCCTCGAGCCGAGAGCGAGCTGCATATCCCAGGCGCACGCTCGTTCCTGCGAATTTCCAAGACCTCCATCCTCACTGCTACGGAAACGGACCTCGCCATATACAACCCGCTCTACCGCTCACTACAGGCTTCACTCCCCGTAGAGGCTGCGCCAAAACAGGCGGGCACGTACAAGCTCGTCGCATACTTTGCCCGCCTCGAGATGGTGGTAGCACTTTTCGGGGCTTCGCTGGTGGCGATCCAGTTGGAGGCGCCCAAGAGCAGATCGAAGAAGCGCCGAGCGGAGGGACTTCTCATCGACTCCATCGGACGTGGACTGGTGGCGCCGGTGAAGATCAGCAAGCCTTCTGAGAAGTTCGAAGCCACGGGCTTCTCAACATTCACCCCGCCCCCTCTCGAGAGTGTCTATGGACTAGGGTCCTGGATGGACGACGCCAAGCAAGCCGAAGATTCCATGGAGTCCGGCGAATACGATGATTTCGAAAAGTTCATGGCCTTTTCATTCGAGGTTCACTGCGTGGATGACGCGGAACATGGTGGCGCCGAGGGTGTGGCCATGGACATTGACGAGCCAAAGGCCAATGGCGTCGCATCTGGGCCGCGCCGTGTCACAGGACCAAATGGAGATTCCTACTGGGCCGTCAACGGGCGCGCACTCCCGATCTGGAGCTTTCCGGATCAACTCAAACAAGCCGACCGACGCATGGTTATGTACAGCATACAGCGAGCGTTCACCGTCGTCAATGACGGAGTCTCCAACCTGCTAGGTTGGCGGCTACGCTGCCGGCTTCCCTGGAGCGGTGTGCTTCAGTACCAGGCTCTGGCTGGTCACCTCACGATCCCCAACGTACAAGCGGCCCTCGAGTCGGAGCATCCTGACCTTGAAGGTTCAGAAAACGTGCTGGCGGAGCAGCTTCCCTTGATCCTGGCCGAGGTCGATCCAACACTCGGGCTGCTTCTCACTTGGCTGGCCGCCACTGGCCTTGGACCTGTTGATATTCTATCTTCTGTCAAGATCATCATGCGCAGCCTCGAGCTGATCCAAGACCCGCAGAAGATGACCAAGAACCTCCTCACAGATGCTCCTGCCAACGACGCCGAAAACAGCGCGCAGGAGGGTGGAGAAATCGGCATGGAGCTCGACCGCCTCGAGGAGCAGCTGAATCTCACCGAGCACTACCTCGTCGATGAGTCCAGCAACCGCGCGCGAGGGCTCAGCATAGCCTTCAACAAACTGGGAGGCTGCCCTCCCTCGGCAAACGTGCGGGCAATCCAGCAGATCTTCCGCCCGGAAGAGACGCTTTCCCTGATATATCTACTTCGGATGGAACTAAACAGGGCCGGCTGGACCAGCCGCTACCTGGACGGTACGCGGCTAGTCGAGAACGACGAGGTGGAAGCCGTTCCGGACAGCAGCATTCGCTCCATCGCGGACCTCCTGTGCCAGTGCATCGACTCAGTGGGGCCGGGCGGTTGGCTCATCAACGACATGCTCGCGCTGGTAGGCAGCGGGTCGGGCGACCACGTCGATGCGGCAGACTTCCTCGGCTCGATGAAGCTAGAGGTCAGCGTCGCTCTCGAGGGCGTCGAGGAGGCAGTGTACCTACGGGGTATCCTGACCGAAGTGGTCCGATATGGGGCGTCTCTGCCCAAGTCCGGCAGCAGCAAGGACCTTGCAGCGGTGCCGCCAACCAGCCTCTCCTCGGCCCTGCCCCTAGGATCCAAGACCAGCAAGCATCAAGTATCGAAGCGGAAGGTTGTCTCGGGCGGCGAGATAAAGGAGCGGACGGCGAGAGAGGTTGGTCTGTTGACCAGTAGGAAGGTGGCAGATTACTCGTTTGAGAGGATTGTGATTTAGCAAGGGACTGTTTATTTGAGGATATCACTGTTCGTCCATTTGTCTACCTCGAATCAGCCTGCAACCACAACGTAAAAATGCCAGATACCACACAAATTCCTAGGAAATGGAACTCTATATGCTTCGCTCCATCGCCCACTTACGGGCAAGACCAGCCAGCCAGCCAGGCCGCAGTTAGTTTCTACATGGCCGGAGGCTGAGGAGTCCTCTGAATATCCGAATTCCGTCCCGGTCTCTCCCTTTTTCGTTGTCCTCCGACCGCTCAAGGCCGTGTTGCCGCATTGGCGTCCGCCTTGTGACCGCCACTTACGCGCACTCGTTTGCCCGAGCTCAAAAATCACTCCCTTTCACTCATCACCCCGCACTGCCTGCATCAGCCTTGCCGGGCACGTATTAATTCTAGATGGATTGCGGCCCGCGCGCCAACGCAATATTCCCCTTCTTCCCAACCTGCTGCCTTGTCGCGTCACACGCAAGCAAGTCCCGGCAAGCATCCACGTCTGGGACCAACCACGAGGCGGCAAGGCGGGCACGGAAATGCTGCTCCGCTGATTGATTTGTGGTGAAACCGCACATCTCGGGCGATTGGCAATATTGTTGGCGACTCCTGCGGTTCGAGTGCATGGCACGAGACGCCGTCGGAGGCGAACCCCGCCCGAACAGGTAGGCATACCGTACCCTCAGCTGTCCGGGCTTTGTGAAGAGGGTTTGGGGATGGAGGGGTTGATGCAGCAAAGTGCACTTCTCTGCGGCACCCTCGCCACCGGCTCCCCATCCGGACAGAGGGTTTGTGCGTCGGATTGGGTGTAGAGGGCATCAATGTAATTGCTGGAAAGGTGGTCCAGTATCCTAGTAGCCTATCGAGAATGGTGGATGGCAGCCGGACTAGTGGGCAGTGGTGGCAGCCATTTTGGGCAGTCCGTAGACGGGTGGCCACATGGACCAATCACGTCGTTTGGTGCTGTAATACCTTTGGGGGCTGCCTTGGACGAGTAGAGGCTGGCTGCATGTCTCGCTTGATTTTCTCTTTTGGACACGCTCTCGCTCGGCGTTGGGCAGGGCAGATTGGGAGGGCAGGGAGGAGGGGGGTGGTACAGGTTGCAGAACGGACAACAGGAAGGGGAAGCAAATCACACTTTCCCCAATCGCCGCCTCGCTCGCCGTGATTGATGGGCGCCCAGGTGTCATGAGGCCGTATGTGCATGGCGGCTAGCGGGAGGGATCCAGATTGACGCGAGACATGGCGTGATGGCATTCGACTATTGAAGGTTACCGCCCGTAGGCCGGAGCTGTGTTGTGTTTATTTCGAGACAGGGTTGCGAGGGAAACCCGAGGCTTGCTCTTGGTGCCAAGCAGGGCTGCCGGGCAACATCCACCTACGTACCATAATCAGCTTGATAGTAGCGGGCTTTGTCCGTACTTTTTACTATTCATAAGCTTCCTTGGGAATATGTCGAAGCTTTGAGAAATCTCGGTAAGCTAATCGGAAATAAGGGTGCACCAGTCCACGACTTGCTGCCAGCCAGTACGAAGGAAATATATCATATAGGGGTTGGTGGGTGCAAGGCTACAAAAAGATAAAAAGGGAAAAAAAGCCCCCAGCAAAAGCTTGCCAGGCAACCTGTCGGGTGCCTGGTTACGAAACCTTGTAGGTTTGCGTCGATCCTCTGTCCTCTTTCCAGGTGCAGGTAATTTACTCCCTCCGGTGGGATACCTGGGCAGGTAATTTACACCCTCGGTGGGATACCTGCGACAACACCTGTACTCGAACTCGAGTACCTACAGGTTCTGGGTTTTACAAGTGGGAGCTCGGCTCTTACCGATACCACTAGACCACGCCCTGTAGGACTGAGGAGGTTGAAGGACATACTACGGGCCAGCCTGATAAACGCATGCACTTGGGCACTGACGTCACTGTAATTTCCCAGCTGAGTTCGGACGGCTAGCTGAGTGTCAAGCGACGACCCCCACGAGGTCAGCACGGCGCATGCTTCTCTTGCCCAAAGCGGCATGCGAACCCTTTATAAGCCGCGTTCCATCACAACGGGGCTACGAGCCTCGCCACGCCAAAACACACATCCGGTTAGAATGATTAGTGCTGAGTTTTAAACAGCTTGCCCCGTGTCCGAGAATGCTGGTGCAAATATCACGTCAAGGAATGGAGATGTCGGCTATGAATAGACTCGACCTTGACGAGACGTGGGGACTCGCCCCGGAAAACGGGGGCTGGCGGATGCGGCGAGCACCATCCTAGCAAAAGATAACGCCCGAGCCAAGTGGCGGGCGTGCGTGCGTAGTAGCATCGGAGGAGCTAGCTGGTGTTTGCGAATTACCAGATTCTTGTCGGTCTATGAGCCTTGTTGGCTGCCTCGTCCATTCCCAACACCCAACAACGGCCGGGCGGGATGCTTCCGGCTGTTGGACCCCGCAATAGCAAGACAGTAATGCTTACAGTTAAGCAAATCTGTTACACGGGCAAACGAAGCCCGCGCCTCGTTTTCTGTATGCGGGCGAGCTGCCCTGTTCTTGTGTATCACGTCTGCCTGGCGGCTAATATTTGGAGCTCCGGGAACTGTTTTACAGGGTGAGCAGAAGCGGAGGCCGTCGGTCGGTGCTTTTGCCGGTTAGCGACGGCCGGACTCGTGCTGAGCTAGGCTGGGTTCATGAGCTCGAGAGCCCTGCATGGTGATTTGACTCCGGCATGTACACAGTAGTGCCTGTGTTAGCATGCGGGGCATTGTTGCTACAGTCATTGGGCTGAGCTGCAGGGGCGGTGCATGCATTGCATGTGCGCCACATCAGGGATTCACGAACGAAGACCTTACTTTTGGTTTGGAATCCAGAAGCCGCATCTGAGGACTCCAAGAGACGTTGGACACGTATAACTGATGACAACCAGTCATCCTTTGCGAGGCTTGCTCGGCGGGAGAAATGGTACGAAACCCCAGTGAGCCTCCGCTACATACCAAGGCAGAAAGAACTTTGATCGACAGCATGCGTGAAATTGCCACGATTTGTGCTTGCTTGTCCGTCTCTCGAGCAGGACACGAGGTGGCAAAGGGAGATCCAAATCGAGTCCGCGCAGTTGCACACTAGCAGTGGATGCATGTACCTACTGCTGTACAGTACTCTCCCTCCTGTTCGCGCCGTTGCACAGTTCACGAGCCAAGGTACCCGTGTCGATCTGTCCGCGGGGAACTCGGTTTCTTGCTTCCACAGGGACCTGCTTGATTTCTCCTTGCAAATTCAAAACAGAATCTCGCTGCAGGGGCTGTTGGACCGAAGATCGCTCCACGGTCTGCACACAATCAACAATCTGCCCAGCGCCCCCGTTCCCTGCAGCCGAATGATTTCATCATCAGTGACGACGACCTTTGGGTGCTTTGGCACTTTAAGTGCTTGGGCCTACGGGCCGTAGCGACTAATCCGGCTGTTCTCGAAGGCGTCACCAGAGTCATGTCGGGAATTGCCACTGCAAAAAAAGAACACAGACGTTCCTTGGGCCGAGCGAGCCGACATGGGAGGTACTCCCCATTTTTTTTTCTCGTCAGTGATGCCAGCGCGGCGACGAATTCTAGACTGGGCGAGCATGGGCTGTTCCTCGCCGTTGCGGGCATCGCCTAAAGCCCCGACCCCTGTCCTTTGACAGGCACGTCGATGCGCCGGCCTGTCATTGGCCAGTCCCCTCGTTGCTGTCATGGGGCCCTGGGTCGCAAAGGCCAGCGCGCGCCACGCACCAAAGCCGAGACGACGTCATTTGGGTTGTGTGGAAACCCCAGGTCGGGCTGTTCGGCTAGAATCCTGTGCCTAGTCGCTCACGATGCTGCTGCCCGTTGCCCCGCGATGCCTCGTTTTCGCTCGCGAAGAACAAGAGCCTCGTACTGCAGGAGAAGTGATACTATACTCTAGCAAATATATAAAACATTCAAGAGCGCGAACCATGTTCTACAAATGCGAGGGTACCCTGTCTGCACATGCAGGTTACGGCACGGGATGTCAAGGGTTTGCAATTTGAGTACGAGAAGCGATCTGACAACAGCACCAGCCGCAGCGCCAGTACTAGGAAACCGGACGGACGCGAGACTCCGCAGTGACGCAGCAAAGAAGAAGAGGAAGACGAACCCAACAGGTAAGCCGTCTCGGCGCCCGATCAGCTCCCGCCTCCACAGCCAGAGCAGGCCAAACCGAGGGAGTGGGGCATCATCCCTTGGGTGTGTGCGATTTGCTGGATTGGTGACCGATGGCGATGCAACCGAGCCCGAATTTGTCAATGTGCTAGTACTGATGCTGAGGGCTGGGTACCAGACCCCGTGGCGCTGGCGGCGGCCCATTCCCACGCAAGCAGCCGTTGCATTTGTGTTGCATTTGTGCATGGCTCATCAGTCCCATCTCAGCTCTCACATCCCCACCAGTCGATTAGCGCTCGCCTTTTGCGACTGACGGAGACCTGTGACCACGCCTCAAACCGGGTGCCGTCCGCCATCTTCTTTTTCCTTCCCGTTGTCCTGGCCTTTTCTGTTTTTCTTCCCCATCGCCTCTCTCCTTCCCCACCCTTTAAACACTGGCATGAAGTGGTATATTCTTTGTTGCCCTTAATCCCGAGCACATCAACTGCTACTCCACGTCACTGCTCCCAGGGTTCCCTCACCCCCACACAACACTGCCTGGGGGCTTGCTTGCATAAGCTCCATATAACACTGCCACCTATCGCACCAGGGATAAGGGCGGCAACACCTCCTTCGATCGCGACTGTCCAGCCCTAGTTTCTCCTCACAACTGAAACCTCGCCGTCGTCGAAAACTGTCCTGATAGAATAGTGGAATCGATAAACGTGCGAGATAGGTTTTGCGCGTTGCCATCTCGCACACGGCTAGCTGGTCACATCGCGACTGTTCTGGCACGACCAACCGAAGGTACTGCCCAAGGCGAGGGCATCGGGAGAGAGCGGGAGTAAAGATCTGTACCACGACGGAAACGCACAGACGTACAGGAATGGACCGCACAAACACGTCGGTCGCGCGCATCGCCGAGGCGGACGGGCTCGCACGGGCGCTCTACCGGCGCGCGCGCCTGGCCGGGCCCGACTTCTCCGACATCGCGACGGTGGTCAGGGGCCTGCACACGGTGCTCAAGCACCTGCGCGTCGAGTCCGAGGACCCGGACAGCCTGCTCAACGCGACCCAGCAGGAGCACAGCGTCTATGCACGCCAGCTGGGCCCCATCGTCGAGGACTGCGAGTTCACGCTCAAGCAGCTCGACACCATCCTCGAAAAGTACGGCGGCAGCAGCGCCGACACGCCCTCGGCCGACGGCCCGCCGCGCGACGGCTACATCGCCGGCACCGCCGAGAGCCGCGAGAAGGACATGATCGCGCTCATCCGCACCAAGCTGGCCAACCAAAAGACGAACATCGACATCTTCCTCGACACGGTCCAGCTGCACAACCCGGCCACGGCAAGGACCTTTGTCGACAACCCCCAGAGCCAGCAGCTGGACTCTATCAAAGACAAGGTCGACGCCATCGCGGCCCGCCTGGCCCGCCGCAGAGTCGCCACCGGCGGCCAGAATGGCCCCAGCGAGATGCAAGACGAGGAGCTGTGGCAACAGTTCTGCGAGGAGCTCGCCCGCGAGGGCTTCTCGAGCGATGTGCTGATGCGCAACAAGGTATGCTATTTTTTGTGTGGACCCGCATGGACACCACCCACCCCAACCCCATGGCCTATCCACCGTCTAGGTTTTTCTTCGTCTATTTTTGTGTCACCCCCCTGCTATCTCCTTAAAGTGCATGCATGTCTCTCAACGTTTGCTTTGTCTTTTCAACCGCCTGCGTATATCGCGCCCTTGCTGGCCAGACATGCACGGTTGGCCAGAAGCTCTTCGCACGCTGTGTGACGGTGCCCAAATTGCTTGTGTTCCCTTGGGCTTTGGCTAGAACGCGTACTGATTCAGGCGAATTCTACCCAACTCTAGGAAGTGCTTCGAGCTTACATCCGTGAGATGGACTCGAACGGTCTGTTGGACAATGACAGTCCACCCTCTGTGCGTGGGCTTCTTCTCGACCAGCAGCAGCAGCAGCAGCCTGCTGTGAATGCCCAGCAGCCGTCCCCACTCTCGCGGGGACCACCCATGACGGTGACCCCGGCGTCGTACCCGCGCGCCCCTGAAGGCGATCTCAGTCCTAAGGAGGTCGTCTACCCTGCCAACATGAACGAGAAGTTCTTGCCTACCGTCAAGCTCGACCGCAGGCCTCCCGATTATAGCAGCGCGCCGCCACCCTTGTCCCACCCCAACCGGGGATCCCCTCGGAGCCCACGAAGCCCAGAGAGCCCACCAGGCCCGCCTTCTCCGTCCCGGGGCGGTACCAACCCCTCCCAGGCTCAGGGGCAGCAGCACCATCGCCAGCACCAGTCTCTGCAAACATATAACCCCTACGTCCCCCACCCGCAACCACAGTCACAGCCGAGCCCGCATGCTCCAGCACAGCATTCCCCGCCGCAGCCCCAAGCCACCTCCCCTCAGCTGCTCTATCAGCCTGTCCTCTATGAACAGCAGAGCAGCGGCTTGTCTGCACTTGAGCGGCAGTCTTCGGTGTCCGACTCCACAGACTCGGGCTCGGAATCAAGCTCCTCCCACAATAAGCTAGTCATTATATCCACTCGAGACCTGATGCAGCTCGACCACAGAGAGGCGGAACGCCTCGCGTCGCAGATGGCGGCAATGCGGCTCAACACCAACCTTCCTCCTCCCCAGTACGTGTCGCCCGGCACTTCACCTAAAAGCGCCACGCCACGCTACCTGCCGGCCCCTCCCACCATTGCGGACCAGCTTGGCGTGTCTCCCCGCTTCGCACCCGCCCTGCCGCCGGCTTATACCAGCCCGGCCATGACCAACGCCATCGCCACTCAGGCCCCACCTCCGGCTTATGGCGCCTCACCACCCATACCGGCCACATACCAACAGCTCCCACATCTGGCGTCGCGCCTTCAGCCCGATAGCGCCGGCCGTGAGATCCCGCCCGACGCCACCTGGACCAAGATCCGCCGAACCCTTGTCAGCCCCGAGGTCCTGGATCGCGCCGGAGTCCGCTACGAGGCCCGCCCGGAGTTTGTCGCCGTCCTGGGCGAGCTGACCAAGGCCGAGATTGCTCAGTACGCCCACGAGACCCTCGAGGTGCGTCGCCAGAGGAGTTCTAGTTACAGCAACAAGCGCTTCCAGCCGCCTCCCCACTACGCCCGCGGCAACAACCGCGCGGATAATCTCCGAGATGAGAAGCCCCGGTCTGGCTCGACGAGCGATGATGAGAGTGTGCTCTGGGACTCGAGCGACTCCTCCTCGGATGACGAGAAGAACCGCCGCAACCGCTCCCGCCGCGCCGACAGCAAGAGCGGCAACACTCCCAAGGCCGAGAAGGAGAAGAGCTCCCAAGACGGCTCTGCTGACGACGAAGAGAAGGGCACCAAGGTGTACCCCTTCATCCTCCCCCTATCCCAGTCCGACGGCAAGAACGGTGACGCCAAGGCGTCTCCCTCCAGTACGGTCTCTCCCAAGCCAATCCTGAAGAACAAGAACGAGAACCACGTCCGGTTTGACCGCGAAGGTCCCGTCGAGGTCTCGGCCGAGGATCTGGCGGCCGAGCAGAGGCGCCGCGAGCGTAGGGAGAAGGAGCGCCCCGAGCGGGAGAGGGAAAGGGAGCGTGAGCGTGAGCAGCGCGATAGAGATCGCCGCCGGCGCGACCGCGACCGCGACCCGGACCGGTACCGCGAGCGTGAGCGCAGCCGAGAGCGTGAGCGTGAGCGTGAGCGTGAGCGTGAGCGTGAGCGTGACCGCGACCGCGATCACCACCGCCGCCACCGCTACTCTAATTCGGGCGAGTCGTACCGCCACGGCCGCGGAGAGTCCGGCGGCGGCGCTTCGAGCCGCGACCGCGAGGAGGCCCGCCGCGAGAAGAAGAAGGCGTGGGGCCAGACCCTGGGCGCGGCCGGCATCGGTGGCGCCGCCGCCAGCCTGCTGAGCGTCCTCACCGAGGCCGCCTCGGGACTCTAAACAGATGTGTCGCCCTCCGGGCCCTACTTCGGGCCACTCATTTCTTCCTTGTCATTTCTACTCCTTCTCTTCCATCTTGGACATTTTCGACCCTTCGAGCGATTTTCCTCCTTTTTGAGCGACATCTTTTTCCTCCTATTTTCCTCTTTCTTCCCATATGATTAATGATTCCTTCGACTTTTCAAGTTTGATGCCCCTCGTTATACATGGCTCTGGCCAACTTTCACTCTTTCCACCATCTCACCCACGACGCTCCCTACAGAAGTTCATGTCTCTCCTTGTCATTAACTCAACGAATCCAACTTGACTACACTTTTTACAGCTTGATGTGTCTTCTTTTTCTATTCTTCTATCTCTATCTTTTCTTTTTCTATTCTCTGGAGCGCTGTTTCTGCAATATCGGTGTTTGGGGCAAAGAGTTGTATGTGTTTGGATACGACGCGGTGTTTGGTTGACAGAAGACAAACAGTCTGTCTTGGAAAGGGAAAAAAACAGCAGGTTATTTTGAATGATACCCATTAAACCAATACATGTATACCTAAACCTCCTGGGGTGAATCTCTGTGTGAATCCATGTTGCGTGCCTGCCTTTGCGATTGTCGATGTGGTGGGCGTCTCAATTGCATTGAGCTCAAGCTCTGCAGCCCCTGTAACAGGCGGAGCTTGGGACTGCACAGCCCCAGGCGGGCACACCGATTCAGCCGACATGACCTGTGCCAGCCTGCAGGTCAACGGGCAGCATGATTGGACCATGACCCAGCGGGCGCCTCTCAAACAGCACAGCTTGACGGTTGAGCCGGCATCTCCGCTCAGACCTTCACAGGCGAACCCCACCCGCGAGCCCTTGTCGTCGGACCAGCAGACTTTCAATCGCCATCACACCTAGACTGTGGCTGCAGCGCGCCAAAGCTTGATCCGATCTGCGACGCCTAAGCTAGCCGAGGGGCCGACCCAGCCCAGCCGCTCTCCGAACTCTCCGTCCGCCACCACGAGCAGAGCACAGCCTCCCGCCTGGGTCTATGCATCCTCCATCCGGCGCCGCCGACGACGACGGAGACGCGGCCGCTGCATCGCACTCGACACCGCCCGCCACCGCCGCCCAGGGCGCCAGCGCCGCCAAGCGCAGGCACCGCGTCGACTCGAACCCGCTGGCCAGCTGGGGGCCGCTGGCCTCGTCGACCCCGGACCCCAAGAGACCCCGCCCCGAGGCCATGATGAGCGCCAAGGCCATGGGCAAGCGCCCAGCCACCGACGCCGCCATGGTCGACCTCACCCGCCCCGACCCCGGCTTCCACCACCACCGCCACCACCACCAGCAGCTGCCCCTCAACCACAGGCCGCCCGCCGGCTTCCAGCCCCACGCCGGCCCGCGCAAGCTCGTCGTCAAGAACCTGCGCGCCGCCCCGCGCCCCTCGGACCCGGCCGTCCAGGACTACTACCGCCGCGCCCGCGACGACCTCGAGGCCGCCCTCGCCGAGGTCTTCCGCGAGCGCCGCCCGCGCCTGCCCCTCGACCGCCTCTACCGCGCCGTCGAGGACATCTGCCGCAACGGCGAGGCCGCCAAGCTGTACGACATGCTCCGCGAGCGCTGCGAGGCCTACCTGCACGACGTCGTGCTGCCCAAGATCACGGCCGAGGGGGCCGCGTCCTCGCTCCGGATGCTGTCCACGGTCCACCGGTACTGGGAGGAGTGGAGCGCGCAGTCGGTATGTCCCCCAAACCCAACCTGCCCCTTGTGCATCTGCAAAACGCGCCTCCTGACAAACGCCCCCCGTCTGTGCAGACCACGGTACGGTCAATATTCAGCTACCTCGATAGGACCTTCCTGCTCAAAAACAACAAGGAGTACATGGTGCTCAACGACCTCTTCATCAACCTCTTCCGCCGGACCGTGTTCCCCAAGAGCAAGGCCCCAATGTTCCCCAAGAGCAAGGCCCCAGAAAGCTCGCCGCCCGGGACCAAGGTTCTAGATGGCATGTGTCAGCTCGTGCAGCTCGACCGCACCGAAGACAAAGGCTTCGACCCGAAGCTGCTGCAGGAGTCGGTGAACATGATGCACGTGTTTAACTTGTACGGCAAGCTGTTCGAGCGGCGGCTCCTCGAGGAATCGGAGAAGTATTTTTTGGAGTTCTCGGAGGAGCGCAGCGAGGGGTGCAGCCTCAAGGACTACATTGGGGCCGCCCGCGACCTCCTCCAGCGCGAGGGCGACCGATGCAACATCTACAACCTCGACAGCACCACCAAGAAGCAGATCATAGACGTCATACACCGCATAGTTGTGCGGGATCACGCATCCAAGCTCCTGAGCGACGAGGACGTGGGGCGGCTGATCGACGAGTGCGAGGTAGAGTCACTGCACGCGCTCTACGAGCTGCTGCAGATGACTGGCCTCCACAGCCGGCTGCGGGGCCCCTGGGACCGATACATCAGCACCCAGGGCTCCGGCATAGTCAACGACGTTGCCCACACTGACGATATGGTGGTCAGGCTGCTGGTCCTCCGGCGGAAGCTGGACGTCGTGGTAAGAGATGCATTCGTTGGCGACGAAGAGTTTACGTATTCCATGAGGGAGGCCTTTAGGAGAGTAATCAACGCCAAGCCTACATGGGCGACAGCGACGACTTCGAGGGTGGGCGAGATGGTGGCCAAGTATACCGACATGTTGCTGCGCGGCGGGCTCAAGGCATTGCCGGCGGCGCTCATATCGGACCACAAGGACCGCGCGGTAGCGGAGCGGACTGGCGTCTCAACGAGTGGGGACGAGGACGGCGAGCTTTCGCGCCAGCTGGACAAGGCGCTCGAGCTGTTCCGGCTCATCGAGGGCAAGGACGTTTTCGAGGCCTTTTACAAGCGCGACCTCGCGCGGCGGCTGCTGCTGGAACGAAGCGCCAGCCAGGATGCGGAGCGTGACATGCTCGCCAAGCTGCACGATGAGTGCGGCTCTACCTTTACGCACAACCTGGAGCAGATGTTCAAGGACCAGGCGCTAGGCAAGGAGGAGCTGTCGGCCTACAAGCAATGGCGGGACGGCTCCAAGACGTCGCTGGCCAAGATCGACCTCGACATCAGCGTGCTCTCGTCGGCGGCGTGGCCCAGCTACCCCGACGAGCCGACCGTGACGCTGCCGCCCGGGGTGGCGCAGAACCTGGCTCACTTTGAGAGCTACTACAAGGGCAAGCACGAGGGCAGGCGGCTCACGTGGAAGCACAGCCTCAGCCACTGCGTCATCCGGGCCACGTTCCCTAGGGGACTCAAGGAGCTGGTGATGAGCGCCCATCAGGCCGCGGTCCTGGTGCTATTCAACAACGTGGGGCTGGACGAGCCGCTGACGTACGGCGAGGTCGAGCAGGCGTCCCGCCTGACGGGTAACTTGCTGGATCGGACGCTGCAGTCGCTGGCGTGCGGCAAGGTGCGGGTACTGGTCAAGGCGCCTAAGGGCCGCGACGTGGCCAAGACGGACACTTTCACTGTCAACAAGTTGTTCGCGGACCCCAAGATTCGCGTCAAGATCAACCAAATCCAGCTCAAGGAGACCAAGCAGGAGAACAAGGAGACGCACGAGCGGGTGGTGGCGGACCGGCAGTTCGAGACGCAGGCGGCCATTGTGCGCATCATGAAGAGCCGCAAGACGATGCCGCACGCCCAGCTCGTGGCCGAGGTGATCGAGCAGACGCGCCGCCGAGGGGCTATGGACCCGGTCGACATCAAGGTCAACATTGAAAAGTGAGTTTCGCGGCTGTGGTCTTCTGTGGAGTTGTCGAGATGCCGCGACCAGTACTGACTTTACATTCTGCTTGCTCTAGGCTCATCGAGAAAGACTATATCGAGCGCGAGGGCAACTCGTACACGTACCTGGCATGAGCGCATCGGCCTCTCTCGGCCGGGATATACTGCCAATTATTACAGGCTACTATCGACCTACACTGCTTGTTGCCCCTTGAGACGGGCTAGGATAGACAATGCATGAAATCATGATACGATACGACGCACGCATGGCAGAGGCGCATGCCGACACAATAAACAGGGCTTTTGCTTATTTTTGTCGGTAGATGTGACTTGCAACCCATGTCGACAATGGAACAGCATTCCATCCCTTGGGATCCACACTGAAATCACATTCCCAAGTTCCACTATTCTCGAGATGTGTGTGGGTCTACAAGCTAATGTCCCTGCGCTGGTGGTGCGAGTGCGGGGTGGGCAGAATCCAAAATAATTTTCACCGCCAAAAAAATCCGTGGGCTGCATCCTTGGCGGGCGGCGCTCTGCTCTGGATCAAGTTTTCAAGCCGCCGACCGACGACGTGGAAACTAGGCCCATTCTCAGTGGACGACCCAGGACCTTGTTAGGACTATCTACCGCGCCGACCTTCTCCAAGGTTCCTGCACCCCGAGCAGCGCATAACACGCACGGCACCCAACCCACCCCCGCCTCCTCCTCGTGCCCGCGCTCCGCCGCCGCCGCCGCCGCCGCCGCCTCCGCCGCTGCCTCCGACTCTCCCGATCACCCTCCTCCCAGACCACACAACCAAGATGCCCAAATCCAAGCGGTCAAAGGTGGTGCACCTCACCAGCGTGACCAAGAAGACGCGCGAGCAAAAGGAGCAGCTGTTTGGCAACATCCGCCAGTGCGTGCCCGAGTACCAGCACTGCTTCGTCTTTAGCGTCGACAACATGCGCAACAACCAGCTCAAGGACCTGCGGCGCGACATGGCCGACAGCCGGTGAGTGTTTCTTCTTCTTCTCCATGTCCCTTTTCTCTCTCCCTCAAGCAAAAAAAAAATACTAAACACGATACAACAACGTCCACACAGCATGTTCTTCGGCAAGACAAAGCTCATGGCCCGCGCCCTGGGCCAGACGCCCGAGGACGAGCAGGCCGACGGCATCCACGGCCTGGCCCGCCACCTAACCGGCACCGTCGGGCTCATCTTTACCAACCGGGACCCGTCCGACGTGCTTTCTACCCTGCAGTCCGTCAGCGCCATCGACTTTGCCCGCGCTGGCGCCGTCGCGCCCCGCGGCTTCCGCGTGCCCCCCGGGGTCGTCTACAGCACGGGCGGCGAGGTGCCCGCCGAGGACGACGTGCCGATGGCGCACTCGATCGAGCCCGAGCTACGCAAGCTGGGCGTGCCGACGCGCCTGGTCAAGGGCAAGGTCGTGCTGGGCGCCGAGGACGGGTCGGGCAGCGAGGGCTACGTCGTCTGCCGCGAGGGCGACGTGCTGGACGGCCGGCAAACGAGGCTGCTGAAGTTGTTTTCGGTGTGCCTGAGCGAGTTCAGGGTGCGCGTGCTTGCGTGAGTTACTTTAATTTTTTTTTTTCTTCTCTCGTTCTTTTCGTGTCCCTCACTACTGACATGTTACGTCGCAGATACTGGTCTGCCGCGTCCTCCGAGGTCACCGAGGTCGAAGCCGACCCCGCCGCAGCCTCCATGGAGGAAGACAGTGACTGAAATAGTCCAAAAACCCCTTTGCTAACGACGATTTCACGGCTTTGACATTTCGTTTCCTCCTTCACCCTCTGTTTGACGGTTATCCAGTAGATGTAGATACCCGTTACTCGTCAAGGGTCATATCGGCGTCATGGTTCAAAAGGCTTTGTTTGGGTTCCTTTTCTTTCCATTTGCTTTGGTTTTGTCTCACGGAGTGGTGCAACGAAGCACAAGCCGATCGGGCTGTCTAGTCCGCGGCGACTGCTCCTTCCCTCCGGCGGCGTTGGGTACCAGGTATAGAAAATGCATCACATCGACACCTGCGCTAACTAGCGCTAACTAGCGCGAGGGCGTCACAATATTCTGCAACCTACCGCTCCGCGCAAAGAGCTTCAATATTTCTAGATCTACGCAGCTCAGAACGATACTATACCGCCCCTGTTCCGCTTACTTGCTTTTAAAGACGTACATGATGGCGGCGGGCTTGACCGCGCCGCCTCGCTATACCCTGGAGGATCTGCAGCGGTCAGTAAGGCATATACGTCCTTACCTCTGACCTTACCTCGACGGCTCGCTTCAAATGTCCATCCAGTTCCCAGAGCCGTATCGAGCCACATCTCACCTCGCCATTAAATCCCTGGGATCTCAAGTGATGCTATGAAGTACAAAAAAAAGAGAGGGGGTGGAAAAAAAAGGTATTGAAACAAAAAGGAGTGCGCGGGTGGCTGTCTGTGCACGGGTCGGGGTTGTCGACTCCTGGGTAAGACTGAAGTGGCCGATGAGGAGACGTGGCCGAGTACCTTCTTGGAACTGCCGATTGAGAGGGCACAAGACGAATGTTTCCATCGGCGGACATGGTATGTCCTGGTGATGATATGCAGCGAGAGCAAAAGCCCTTCAGCGCAACGACGATGGCTCGCTTCGGGTGGTGGTGTTCCAGTGTCCGGTCTGGGGTTTACCTTGTGCGGATCGACGTCGACTAGCGACTCTTGCAGGGCCAGGGCGACATGAGGATTTGAGATAGGGAGCAGCAGAAATTTAAGCAGCTTGGCGACTGGCTGGTCGCAATGTCCTACCCTTGACGAGACGGGGGCAGAAGACAGATTCCAACAGAGGGATGCGCTCAGCCGGCGAGCGGCTTGCCACGCACGTCAACCCACCCAGAGCACAGGACAGGGGCCGTGCCAAGGCCTATTAGTACCTCCGGATCTTGCGAGGATCGTCGTAGCTGCCCTCGTAGCCGCGTTTGCGATCGTCGTCGCGGGGACGGTCGTAGTCGCGGTCTTTGTCGCGATACCCACCACCGCCATTCTCCCTGGGTTCCCTCGGGCGGATAGGCTCCATGTTGCTTCCGGTTCGCCTGTTGTCACGGTCTCTGTCGCGGTCGCGATCGCGCTCTCGGTCTCGGTCCCGGAAACCGCCGCCGGACCTGTCGTCGTAGGAGCGGCTGCCGCCACCATCACGCGAGTCGTACCCACCGCCACGCGAGCCCGTAAAGTCGCGTCTGTTGTCGCGGAAGCCTGGTCCTCCAGGCGCATTGGGCGGCGGGCCTCCGTAACCGTTGGCGCCGCCTCGGTCCCTGTCGCCGCCGCGCGGGCCGCCGAAGCCACCTCCGTAGCCACGGTCCGAGAAGCTGCGTCCTCCGCCGCCCCTGAAGCCACGGTCGCCACCACGGCCGCCTCCGAAACCGCCCCTAAACCCGCCTCGGAAGCCACCACGGAAGCCGCCGTCGAACCCTCCGCGGCCCATGGGCTGCGATGGCATGGCCATGGTGTAACCGCGGCCGCCGAGGCCACCGCCCAGACGAAGTGGCTTCCAGCCCTCGACGGTCCGGCCACGCTCCACGTCGACCTTGACACGCCTGTCCTTGATCCGGATACCATCACATCCATCGAGTGCCGCTGATTAGCACGCGCAGCAGAGCGCGCTGGTGTCAGTATAGCCTTACCATGCCACGACGATGCAGCCTCGCCGGCCATGTTCGAGTGCCGGAACGAGGATACAGTACGTCTGGGGGAGATTGGGGGAGGGGAAAGACTTAGGCAAGCCTGAGGGCCATAGTCTGCAGCGGCGTAGAATGACTCGCATGGCGCGCCATTCCAGCCGCGACAAGGTACCTAGGTGATGCATGGCCTTTGGTGCGGGATTCAATGGTGGCGCATTTACCTCTCATGTCCTTCTCGCGTTCAAAGACGACAAAGGCATATCCGCGGTGCGGCTTACGCTTCTTGTTGCCCTTCTCATGGGCATGCGTGTCCTTGATTATCCGGATCTGCAGCACGACCGTGGTTAGCAGGCATTTCTTGATTCGGGGGGGTCCGCGGCGAGTGGCCCCGGAGCACTCGCAGCGGGAGCACCATGGTGCTCGGGAGGGTCGGCGACATACGCGTTCAATCGTGCCAAATCGTCCAAACTCCTTCTCGATGTCGCGCTCGTCGGCTTCATAGCTAAGCCGGGCGACGATCAAAGTTTTGAAGGCGTCACCACGGATATTGGGGTCCTCAAGAGGCTTGTCTGCAACGAGAATGGAAGCCATCGTCAGTCACTGGATCTCAAGCCGCAGCGCAGCAGGCAAACATAAGCTGCCGAAAACAACTCACACTTGGCCGGGCCCTCCTTCAAATGGCGCGCAACTTCTTCGGTGTGCTCGGCCTTCTTCCTGTCACGCCTCTGGAGCCAGCTCTCCGAGGCCACGTAGCCGTCCTTGTCCTTGTACTCCTGAAGCGCGGCCTTGAACCCGGCAACTCCGTCAATAGTCGTCGCCCGGCGCTGGTCGGGAGGCGCGTCGATGTGCGGAATGTATCGCAGCGGAGGGCGCGGCGCGAAAAGCGCGAGGAGGTTGGGCGGCAACCTGTCCGTCATGGCGGCGGCGATGTGCCAGGGGGCACCCGACCGAGGACGAATGCAAGGGGATAGGTCGACGGCAAGAGCTTAGCAGGATGATGTGGTAGATCGCGGGGGCGTATGGTAAGGTGTATCTGGTGTCGATTTCGCTCATTCGATGGATCGAAGGGCGAGGCGATCGTTGCGTGCGTGCGAACGAAGATGCGTCGTTTTTTTAGTCCCTGGAAGCTGGAGCCTTGCGAGCTGGGTGAAATGAGCAGTTTCGCGTGCGCCCGGTTTCGATTGGCCTGCGCACCAGGTCCTCGAACAAGTGGAGCCGCCACGCTAGTCGGCCCACCTCCTCTCCTTTGTCGCGACGCAGAGGTGCGTGCCTGTGGGCTGGGCGGGCGCCGTCACGTGCCGCTATGGAACTTTTCTCCTGCCATGGAAGAGGCTCCGACGACATCAGGCAGGTGCAAGATTCCGGGGGAGGAGGCTCGAGAAGATCTAGTCCCCAACGCCACACAATGACGATCACACCGCTGCAGAGGGTGTCCGTCGGCCGCGTAAGTGTGGTCCATGTCTGCCCTCTGCCGCCCTCGCTGACCTTTTTTCTGGCAACGCAGAATGGCGTCGGCGCATTCATCATGCAGTGCAAGAGGCTGGAATTCCACTACTGCGACTGGGCTGGGAGCTCCAAGGGCATGAAGTAAGAGCCTCACAGCTAGCCATTACTCTGGCCTGGCGTTGATGTAGCCCCTGATCTTGGTGATGGGTGCTCAGGCAGCTGACATGGCTCCCCGCTGCCCCTCCGCAGCCAGTTTATCAAATCGCATCTCCCCGCCTTCGCCGCGAAGCACCCGCAGATCGAGATCACAGTCTCCCCGAGGCCCTCGAAGCACCCGGTCATCACCGGTCACTACATCAACGGGCGATCCAAGCCTATATGTGTCCGGAACCTCGAAGCAAACCAGATTCTGCAGAAAGTCGAGATTCTCAGGGATTCGGATGGAGAGAAGAACAAGCGATACTCGAAGCCCGTCACCAGCATTAATCTGGGTGTTAGGGGTATTTGGAGTCCTTACCATGGCAAAGGTATGCCTGTATGAGACTTCGCAACACACTCCGTATACTGCCACAGCATTATACCAGCCAAGCCTCTACGGCACGGCCCGGAAGGCCGTTGAACATAGCGAGTTGTCCGCGGCACGTTGTCACGACTTAATTGGAAAACACTGCGAATGGCACATCACAAATAACCCTTGTGCATGGAGCGGATATATGTCCTGTCGGTGTGTCCTGCGATTGTCATTTCTGCTAGTGCATACTCCTTTGACCGCCTCGGTCACCACGGGTTCTTCAGAAGCCGGTGCGGGTTCTTCCATAATTGCATGGGCAGTACTAGTGTTTGTTGGGTCCGTAGCCGGAGGCAACAGCCTATTTCCCATTGGAATCTTCTCGCTGTGCTTTTACCCCTTAGGGGTCGTTGGGTGCAGCTCCGACGACAGCGATCAAGCCGCCTTGCAGGTGCAGATGTCGACGACTGTATAAATCCGAGCCGGCGGTTTGTCAGTCACGTACATTTCAGGGTCTTTCACATGTGCCAATCATGAAGCTGCATTTAAGTTCAACTGGGGACTTACACGCCGGCTTCAGGCTGGCACCGCCGACGAGGAAGCCGTCAATGTCGGGCTTCTTGCTGAGCTCGCTGCAGTTCTTCTCGTTGACGCTGCCTCCGTACAGGATGCGGGTCTCGTCGGCAGCCTTGTCGGAGACCTTGGTCTTGAGCCAGTTGCGGATGGCCTCGTGCGCCTCCTGTGCCTGCTCCGTGGTGGCGACCTTGCCAGTACCGATGGCCCAGATGGGTTCGTAGGCGATGACGATCTTCTCCCAGCCGGCGGTACCGACCTTGGCCTTGAGGGCCTCGAGCTGACGCGTGACGACCTCGACCGTCTTGCCGGCCTCGCGCTCCTCGAGCGACTCGCCGCAGCACCAGATGACGCTGAGGCCGTTGTCAAGCGCGTATTTGGTCTTTGAGGCCACGACCTCGTCCGACTCGCCCAGGATGGTGCGGCGCTCCGAGTGACCCAGGATGGCCCACTGGACGTCGATGTCCTTGAGCTGCGAAACTGAGGTCTCGCCGGTGAATGCGCCGTCGGGCTTGTCGAAGACGTTCTGGGCCGCCACCCCGATCTCCTTCTTGGCCAGGGAGCGGGCCAGGGTGAGGTAGACGGCGGGCGGCGAAATCACGACCTCTGTGGTGGGCATCGCAGATGTCAGTCATGGCTCATTATGGCAGGCGGCATCTCGCAAACAAGAGCCGGGGACGGGCTTACACACCGGCATTGACATCCAGGTTGGCGCTGTTAAGGTTCTCGACAATCTTCTTGATGGACTCTGAGGTCCCATTCCTGGTCCAGAGTCAGAAAGACGTGCTTTGTAGCCATGAGTCGCCGAAGGTTGTCGTGTGCTGGGTTGTGGTGCCATCCTTTTCTTCCACCTAGCCTATCTGGCGATGTGCGGGGTCGCGTCGCTTCGAGACGCGGGGCCTGGTGCTTGACTTACATCTTGAAGTTGCCTCCGACGAAGAACCTGCGAGCCATGATGGGCGATTGTCTGGTTGCAACACGGGGATAAAAGTAGCAAAGGTATCTCAGCTGTGCTTGGTGTGAGTGAGTTGATCGACTGCTCTGTCTCTACCGGTGGTGCAAGTTTTCTGTTCGACTTGATTATTATGCTCGACGGGTCAGGCCATTACGTCGTTGAGCTCCAATAGCTCTTCACACGGGGTGGGGAATTTCCAGCTTCAATGTGTGAGCGCAGCTTGACGCAGTGCCGGGAGCAAGCGGGGCGCACGCACGACGTTGGTGCTGGTATGCGGGCTTTTTTTTTTCTTGCCGCGTTACGGTCCCTGAGAAGCTCCCAGCGTCAGCTCGAGCCAAGAAACGCAAAGATCACATTAATTGCATTGACCTTCTACGTAGGGCGATAGACAAAAAACACGGTGTCGTTTCTCACTTTATCTCTTAGCCATCTACATTAGTGACCATTCCCAGACCCTATCCGCCGTGGAAACCTCGAGATTCTCATGATCTTTCCCGTCGCTCTGATATCGCCTCCACGAGAGCCCGTGGCGTTTCTTACAATCGATCTTAAGCCAGATCATCAGCTGTGCCGCGTGAACAGCTTTGTTGGAGGGTGGATCTGATCAACTATCAGCACTTAGCATAGTTTGTCAATGACATGCGCTTCATCTGTTCATCTTCACATCCGATTAGAGGCAGCGCTTAGCTGACCTGCGTCCGTCGTCGGCGAGCTAAAGCAAGAATATGGCCTTAATGACAACGGACCAGAGCGTGCATGTCAACAACACAAGCCACCATGGGCATCAACGTCAATGTTGTTGATCTGAGCGCGGTTCAGCGATGTCCACACCATGATTACCTAATCTGGCCACAAAGCCAAGCATGCTCCAACAACCATCTGGCAGAATCTCTGCCTGCCCTATTTGAACCCCTACAAGTCGACATCTCGGGAGCATGTGAAGAGCCAGGTCCAGGAAGGGATCGCGGGATCCCCGTGGTTGCCGAATCCCTGGGGGAATGGAGACAGGCCGGGGGCACTGCCGTCCATCTTCAGAGTCGACATCGCCTCGACCGTGGTTTTGTTGAGATGTGGGGTGTTGTGACGTTGAGTCAAGGGAGATCTCGGGTTTTCTTCTCGAACCCTCCTCCCCCCTCCCTTGAGCCGCACACCAAACCGTCCCCTACTGCCACCCCCAGTCATCGGGCCATGGGAAAGCCCGCTGTTAGCTCTTTTAGGGCTAGTCTAGCTAGATCTTTGCTCCGAGAAGAAGCGACACGGACAATATGTAAGCCGCACCTGGTGCGCATTCTCTCGTCCCTGTCGCCATATCAGGCAGTCCTCCCGCAAACCCATCAATCCCCAGAAGTTGAGCGTCCGAGCATTGACTTTCAATGCTGTTGTTGTTTGCCCCTGAGTGGCTGTCGCGCTCGCCGAGCCGTGATCAATGGTGCGCCCTGCATTGCGCCGCCAATGCGCGCGGCTGGCCCCTCCGGTGCGTGCCCAGCAGCCAGGGACCAGGCAGGGGTTGCTTTCCCAACAGATTTCCAGATTCGATCTTTGCGACCAATCACATGGCACAATTCCCTGGCGCCTTGCGTCACCGAAAATTTGTGTGCGCGCAAAAAGATCGACACTCGGCGTAACGCGTATACAAACAGATGGGGGGCAGGTTTTTTTTTTTTGTTTGTTTTTGAAAGAGTGAAGATTCCCATCAACCCAACATGTTATCGATGCTTACCTCGAACACTGTAGCCCCTGTAAGTACGTAGCCCCAGGAGTCGGGTTCACCGTGGACCAAGTATTGGGTGGGTCTAGACGGGCATGCTCAGTTTCCAACTGTCCATTAGGTTATGCTGGGCACCTAGATTTGATACCATGTAATGAAAGCTGGGTTGCGGTGGAGTATTTCGGTCCTTCCTGAATAGTCCATTCTGTCCGACCGAGGCACTCAACCCAACTGGAACCTGTAATTTTTTTCTGCTCGTGACGGCAGGCAGTATCGATACTTACCTAGGTACCGACCTACGCTCATAAAGGGTCTCATCTACCGACGAGTGGTGGTTGTATTGTATCCGACGGCAGACACGCCTCGGGTTTTCCTCCAACGCCGGCCTGTCTCAAAACGATCGTTCCGGCCGAGCGGCAAGTCACCGTCAACTGTCAACTGTCTCCTATCTATCCTGAGCCAGGAAACTTTTTCCTTGGCATGCGTGCCCAGCTCCGGCTCTGCTCCTCTTTTGCTCCCTTTCTCTCTGGCTAGGGCTTGCTTAACAGGCACCATCCGATTCTGGAAGCCTGCAGTTGCCACTCAACAATCTTTGTTGTCACTCTTCCCCACAGCTGGCAAGTCGCTCTTCCTGTCAATACTTAAAACCCTATCGGACGCCGCTGGGAGCCACCACCGCCCACGAACCCACGCTCCGTAACGGCTCTACCACCACCAAACGCTCCTCACGACAGTACGTGGGCGCGTAGCTATCACAACATTCACCATGGCTTCCACCGGCGACGTCCACCTGGGCCTCCCATCGTCCTCAATCTTCCAGTTCCCGCCGAACCCGGAACCGGGTTTCCTCGCACCACCTGCTCCTGGATCAATGGCCTATGCGCCGCCCTTCCGCATTCCTGACCACATCTACCAGGCTGTGCTCGACCCAAAGGTTCCCATCACAATTGCGGTCGTCTATGCCGTCACCATAAAGTCCCTCAACGCCTACAATAAGTCGACCAACAAGAGGCCGTGGGCTATCAGCAAGACCCGCCCCTTCTTCTGGTTCGTTGTGCTGCACAATGTCTTCCTCGCCGTGTACTCTGCATGGACGTTCTGGGGCATGATTGGCACCATGCGGAGGGGTATCGTTAGCCCCTTTGGCCCCGATGGCCTGGCTGGCACCGTCGACAGCTTCTGCCGCCTTCAAGGCCCACCTGGCCTTGGCAATGCCGCCTTCTACGACGAGTCGATCAACGGCTGGAACACGCATGCTCCGGGAGTGTCCATGGCGAACGGCCCCGGCCGCAGTGTTCCTGGCCGTGTCTGGAACGAGGGTCTTGCCTTCTACGGCTGGATCTTCTACCTCAGCAAGTTCTACGAGGTTCTCGACACCTTCATCATCCTCGCCAAGGGCAAGCTCAGCTCGACCCTGCAGACCTACCACCACGCCGGCGCCATGATGTGCATGTGGGCCGGTATGCGCTACATGAGCGCCCCGATCTGGATGTTTGCCTTCTACAACTCGGGCATCCACGCCATGATGGTGAGTCTTTGTGTCCGACCTTTCCCTTGAGGATGGCGTGTAACTAACAGATACAGTACACCTACTACACTATCACCGCCTTCTCCATCAGGGTTCCGGTCTTCATCAAGCGCTCTCTGACGACGATGCAGATCACTCAGTTCCTGATCGGCGCTTCGTATGCCATGCTGCACTCGTTCGTCTCGTACAACATCCCCATCACCGGAGAGCAGGCGGCTGAGGCCGCCTCTTCCGCAACTGCCTCGAGCGCTGCTGTGGACGGCTCTGCGACCGCTGCTATCATCGACGGCCTTAAGAACATCATCGGTGGTGTTGTTGGCTCTAAGCCCATCTCCACCCCTCTGCCGGCGGCGGCGGCGACTGCTGCTGTCACAGGCACCGTGTCGTACGGTCAGCTCACTGTCCCGTGCACCACGGGCACTGGCGAGACGTTTGCCATTTGGCTCAACGTCATCTACCTTACGCCCCTCACCTATCTCTTCATGAAGTTTTTCGTCGAGTCGTACATTCGTCGCTCAAATGTCGAGGCCGCGCGTCATAAGAAGGGTGTCGAGGCGCGCCATGAGAGCAACGTGACCATGGCCGAGATGGCTGGATGGGATGCTGCTCGTGAGATGGAGAAGGAGGTTTACGGTGAGAGTGGAAACGGCAAGGCCGCCAACGGCAAGAGGTGATGTAACAAGGGAACGAAAAGAAAAAGAAAAAAAAAGGACAACAAAACACGGTCCGCCACGATGTGAAATTGGAGGGAGGGCACGGAGTTGCAACGAGAGCATCCGCTTTCGGCTCATGACTATGTTGGAGCCTCACCCTGTTCGCCTACTTTGGAGCACGATGAATTTGTTCAATGTAAATAATTAAGATACCTATCGCATACGAGAAGGTAAACGGTTCACTAGAAATAGCTACGGAAGGTCACTAGAATTTCACAAGTCGGTTTCTTCGATGCATGTTGGCAATGGTTTTGTTCTCAGGGCCTTGGCCTGACATGTGAAGGAGTAGGAGGGCTACAACACTTGAGCACAGATTCGCCAAACTTAACCTGTGATGGATGGTATTGGTCCTTTGGCGGGGGGATACTGACAACAATCTTTTTGACAACTTATCCCAATATAAATAGAAAAAAGACTTTTGACCAAATGGGAGGAATGGCAAGCTAATCAGCCTTCAATATAAACCCTAAACTTGACCGGTCATTACAGATCTGCGGGCTAGCTTACCACGCCTATAATGGCGAGAACTGTTCGATACCCGGTGGGAGACGAGACGCTGGCAGCAAAGACCCGGCTCAACCGAGGCACGCGTAATGCCCGGCATTCCGGGAACGATCACCCCTATCTTCCTGTTCTCGGCTCGTGTTGGTGGAACTTCAAGCCCAACACTAGCAAACCTTGTTCCCCTCCGACCAAACCGTAAACCGTTGGTGTCAAATGCGTTGGGGCAGATGGGACGGATGCGGGGTGCGAGCTGCGGGCGGCTGGGGCCGTGCCGTGCCTGGTATGGACGCACGTATGCACAGTCAGGGGTGGCGGCGGACGAGGCTTCGCCCTATCGATGACGGGCTTTCGATCGAGTCCGACGACCGAGGCAACTTCCAAGCCGAGGCATGTTGGAGGCCATTTAGTCTGTCGCGAAACCCCGCGTTTGTTTAATTTCCAATAGCCGAATCCGACAATGATAATTTCTCACGATAGATTGAACAGACTGTTGTTGCAGTCGCGTGCCTTCACTGTGTCTGGTCGCTGGGGCCGGGTTTAATTGAAGTCGGAAAAAGCAACGTCATTGACGCGCCCGTTTCGAGCTTGGGTCCTACGACTTCCCTTCCCAGCCAAGCAACAATCTCCGCCTTGACGCAACATCGAAGAACCCTCAACCGACGCTACGGGCTGCCAAGGCGTCCTACTGCCTATATTCTGACCCTAACGATATCGTACCCGTGACTCCCTAAAGAAAAGCGCGCAAGCAACCCTACCGATGGTCGCGCAGGCACCGCCGCCGAATGCGGCGTCGAAGCTCTCGGCCTACCTCTCGCGACTCAACCCGGTCCCCGGCTTCCCCGAGTACACAGGCCCGCACAAGGTCGGAACCATCGACGTGGAGATCCCCGTCTCCGAACTGCCCTCGCCGTGTCCCGTCTCCGACGCCGCCGCAGGGATCCCCACCGTCCTGATCCGCGTCTACTACCCGGCGACGCCCGACGCCAGGGGCAAGCGGATAACATGGCTCCCCGCGCCCCAGCGGCAGCACCTATCGGGGTATGGGCAGTTCCTCGGCATCGGACCGACCGTCTCGAGCCTCGTCTCCTTCCTGCCCCGGCACCTGTACCACACCTCGATCCCCGTGCTCGAGAATGCGCCGCTGCTCGACCCGCCGGCCGACGCGCACGCCGGCCGCTGGCCGACCATGGTCTTCTCGCACGGCCTGGGCGGCAGCAGGAACGCGTACTCGCACCTCGCCGGCTCCCTGGCCAGCCACGGCGTGGTGGTCTTTTGCCCCGAGCACCGCGACGGCAGCGCCGTCTCGACAATGATACCCAGCCCCGCCGGCAGCACGCCGCGCTCCGTCGAGGTCGCCTACCGTCCGATTGCGCACACGACGGAGCCGGCGACGTGGGAGGCCCGTGACGGCCAGCTGCGCGTCCGCACGTGGGAGTTGGGCTTGGTGCTGGAGGTCGTCTTTGCCCTCGACGACGGATCCGCAAAGTCCCTCACGAACCTCAAGTCTGGCACGCCGGCCCACTCGCTCCCACAGTTTGCTGGCAGGCTTCACATACAGGACCCGGGGAGCATAATCTGGGGAGGGCACAGCTTCGGTGCCGCCACCATAGTGCAGTTACTCAAGTCGACGTACTACGCCGACAGGCCCGAGGCCAAGACCAAGAAGTCGATATTCGAGCCCTCGGCCGACTGTCGGCTGCGGGGCCAGGTCACGGAGCGGTCGGTCGTGGTGTTGCTGGACATGTGGTGCTTCCCGCTCGTGTCGCCCGACCAGTCGGCCCTGTTCCGGCTGCCGCTCCCCTGCTACGCCGACACGGCCGCGGCGCCCGGCGGCGCGGCGCTGCTGGCCGTCGAGTCGGACGCCTTCTTCAAGTGGATCGAGCACCTGCACACAAAGGCGCTCGCGCTCTCGCCGGTCCCGACGGCCCGCGAGGTGTCGGCGGCCGCCTTTGAGCGGCCCGCCACGGGCCGCCGCCTGCCCGAGCCGCACTTCTTCCGCGTCCGCGAGAGCGCCCACCTGAACCAGTCCGACTTCGGCATCCTCTTCCCCTGGCTGACCCGCCACGTCTTCGGCGCCCGCGAGCCCGAGCGCGTCCTCCGCCTCAACGTCCGCGCCGTGCTGCAGGCGCTGCGGGCCAACGGGTTCCGCGTCGCGCGCACGTGCGCCGCCGACCTCGTCGACGGGGACGGCAAGGGCGATGGTGATGGCGGCGGGGACAAGCTCGCCGCCACCGCCAACCTGGACGACGACCCGGCCATCCTCGACCGCAGCGTCGCACAGGCCGGCGCCATCGACGCCTGGAGCTGGGTCGACGTCGTCGGCCTCGGTCCCGAGAGCAGCCTGGCGGAGCGGCGGGCGGCGGGCGGGGACGACGCCGACGCCGACGCGGGGTCGGCGACGGACGTGGAGAACGACGGGCGCGAGGTCGACATGCAGGGCGAGATAGAACCTCACCTTGCGCAGAAGCCCGCCGTGGCTGGGGTTGCGGCTGCGAGGTGATACCTGCTTACGTGTTCTTTCACCTCATTTCTGCTTTTCATCATCCTTGTTTACGCGCTCACATGCCTTGTTATTGCGACTTTGGAGCCGGGTTCTGTTGCACGGCGGCCATTCTACTTTCTCTTGTTTCCATAACGTCTAGGATTAGCGATACCTATAGATGGATAGAATTAGACATTAGGCCATCAAATACACATCCACACACCTTTCTTCGGGCGGAGCCAGACTCCTGGGGGAGGGTGCGCCAGTCACAGCTCGAAGCCATACTGACAAATAAGCCCCTGTAGCCACCAACGGCAAGTGTAACCGCTTTATTATACCAGACCAATGGCAAGCTAGCTTAGCGCATCCATATGGAGCATGTTGGGGGTTTTAGGCATCCATCTGCCTTCGGCCACTGCGGTCAGGCTGCGGGGGTTTGGGCGTCGAGACTGCGAGGCCACTTTACTTCATTTCTTCACATCACTCCTCCAAGGACCGACACTCTTTGTCAACAAAATGCGACGTCGAATTGGTGCAGCCACTGGGTGAATCATCATGGCAAGCGCCGCCACTGCTGGTAAGACGCTGTCAACCTCAACAGGAAAGCAGTAGAGCTAGGTACAAGAATGATGCTGATTATCTCTGCTCATACGCTGCCTAGTCCCTCTGTCTAATGCGGCGCCTAGCGTTCCCAAGTCGCCGCCCTTGGACGACTTCGACATTGCTGTCATCTGTGCCCTGACTATCGAGGCCAACCCTGTTGTGGCTCTCCTGAAGCCGAAATACGACAACAGTAGCCTGGAGATCCCGTCCGCCGACTACGTCACCTACAAGACGGGCGTGCTGGGCGGGTGCAATGCGGTTATTGCTTTCCTGCCCGAGGCCGGCAAGAGCAGTTCAGCCTCAGTCGCGGAGAGTGTGCGGCGCACCTTCCCCCAAATTAAGCTCGCGCTTGTCGTCGGCATATGCGGGTGCATCCCTTTCATAGATGAGGATGACGAGAAGATCGAGGTTATCCTCGGAGATGTCGTAATAAGCCAGGGAATCGTGCGCTACGACTATGGAAAGCACACGCCCGACGGCTTCGAGCTCAAGACCTTGTCCCGCGACGCTCTCGCCAGGCCCAGCCGGCGGCTCCGCTCGCTCATGGCCATGGTTCAGATGCTCGACAGCCGGGATCGGCTGGCCTCCAAGATGGACGAAAACCTGGAGGTGCTGCGGAAGGGCCACCCAGGGCTCCGGGCATCGTACCCTACGGCGAGTGCGGACGTGCTATACCGGCCCTCCTACCGCCATCAAAAGAAGGGCATGTCGTGCAGCGAAGCCGGCTGCGGCCTGGACGGTATGGACGCTAAGCCGGTGCCGCGGGACCGTCTCAAAACCTTTGCTCCTTTTTCGACCCCCTCTGCCAGATCCCCAATCACACCACCCCCCCACTCCGACCCCGCCACGCCACCCACCTCGCCAGGTGGTTCTCGACCATCAGAGCCCAGGGTGCACTTTGGCTGGACGGCATCGGCCGACAAAGTCATGAGCGACGGCAAGGAGCGTGACCGGGTGGCTGGCTCCTTGAAGACTGTGAACTTCGAGATGGAGGGTGAGGGCGTGGCGGAGAAGTTTCCCGATTGTATCGTAATCAAGGGCGTTGCGGATTATGCCGACAGTCATAAGGACGATGGCTGGCGTCGGTACGCGGCGGCCACGGCGGCTGCCTGTGCCAGTGCCTTCCTCACAGAGTTCTGGAGGTAGCCATGTACGTAAAAAATATTCCAGAAACCTTCAAATCTCAACATCTTCAGTTACTGATCAAAACACAGCTTCAAAAGAAAAACGCCCTTATAAGCTACTGTTCGATTTTGAAGGGATGCCGTACACTGAAAGCTTTGTCCCCCGACCTAACGATATGGCCGCGATTCTCCATCAACTCCTGCCTGACCCGCCGGTCTGGAGTCAGAAAGCTCTATGTCCTCAACGGCATGGGTGGTATCGGCAAGACGCAGCTGGCTCTGAACTTTGCCTATGAGTACCGGGACGAGCTCGACGCTGTATTTTGGGTTGAGGGCCATGACGAGACAAGCCTCAAATCGGGCCTTGCGGGTTGCCTCAAGCGTATCCCTCAGGGACACCTCCCCGGGTCGGTACGGGGAAAAGCCGCAGGATCAGGACTCCGCCGTCCAGTTCTTTCTCGGTTGGCTCAAGCGCCAGGACAATAATCGATGGCTTTTGGTCCTGGACAATGTAGACAAGAGGTGGAAGGACCCCAGCCACTCCGGGAGCGCCGAGAATGGCGCTGGTTCGGTTCCGAGAACGTGCGACGCCGATCCCGATATGGGCGCCTATAACTTGCAGTCATACATTAGCGCGGATCATGGGTCGATCCGGATCACCAGCCGACTCAACAGCATTCCTGGTCTCAGCGTAGGATCGCCGCTGCAAAAAGCCGATGCTACGCTCTCGCGAGACATTTTCAACAAATGGCGCTTCTTGGGCCAATACCCTCCTCCCCTTGGCGCTGGTGACGATGAGGCTGTCGTCGAGATTCTCAAGCGACTCGATGGTCTTCCTCTGGCGCTGGCCGCAGCTGGCTCGTATATACGGCAGAGATCCGCACCGGCATCATACCTGTGTCTTTTCGATCCATCCTGTGCTCCACGAGTGGGCCGCCAATTCGACGGCACACAAGGATCTTCTGGTCCAAGACGAAGACGGCGTGCTCGAAAGAGGAGATTGCGCACGTTTTGCGCTATGCTTCGTGGATCCCGAGCTGGTTTACCTGGCGGCAAGGTCACATAGGACCAGGAACAGCAGCCGCTGGGGAGATATTCTGCCTTTGTCCGAAAGGGTAGTCCCGCACGCCGTCCGGGTGGCCAGTCAGCTAGATTCTATCCCTAGGGACGCCTGGTCACATAATATCCACCCTCGCTATTTCCAGGACGAGCTGTTGCCTAGGGTTGCTTCCCTACTGGTCGCGTTTGGTCGTCCTGGATCCGCAGAGGCCATATTGGGGATGGGTATCGGCCGCTCCATTGACACCAAAGTCATAGTCGATGACTTTACGCCGGCGCACATTATTTCGCATGAGTGGCTATTTAGAGGTCTTGCTGATGCCTACATATCCCAAAAGCAGAACCAGCCAGAAGCTGAGAATATCCTGCGGCGAATTCTTCGCGCCCATGTCTCAAGGTCAAGTTCTTCCTGGGACTACGAAAACATATCCGTAGCAATGCCGATGCTAGGAGATCTCTATGTAGAGCAGAGGAGGTGGGAAGCCGCAACGACCTGGAAGCTTGCCGCGTTAAAAAAAACGCGGTATCTGGGCCACATCCAAGATACAAATATTTGGGCGCGGGTCTGTCTGAGCTCGGGATGATCGCAATCGAGAACGGCCAGTTCCAACGGGCAAAGGAGCTCTTCGAAGTTTCCCCGAAGTTTGTTTTCGTGCAGTACGGCCCAGATAGCAGAGTCACGCTAGAAGCCATCAAGACCCTCGCGCAGCTCTACCGATCGGACAACCTCGAGGAAGCAACGTCATATGCCGAACACGCACACGACGGCCTAATCAAACTAGATGGAATTTCTCGGCCGCCGACAGTCAGTTCAGCTGTGGTTCTCGCTGCCATCTACAACGACTTGAGCCGATCGGACGACGCCATTCGGTTGCTTGATTCGGCGTTGGAGGCTATCGACGCTTCATCCTTTGAGAGCGCAGAGGCTCTGCGCCTGTACGCGCTGTACGAGCTCGCGCGAGCTCGAGCAATGCAAAGATGTGTGTCTTCTGCGGAAGATATAATCTGCACGGCATTGGAGGGGTTAAGCGCGCCGCTTGAAGACCCGGTGTTCGAAGAGCATTGTGCGGACTTTTTGCAGTCGATAGAATCGCAGAGGGATTAGAAAGTCGACACAGCAAGATGGAGGCAGCGGGGCCGGGTCCGAAACGACAGCAGATGGTATGCCTTCGGGACTGCAGACTAGTATATCAAGGTAGTAAGGAATGGACGCCGGGTGGTCGAGCTTAGTAAACACTCCGTCCTGGACCATCCTCCGGGGTGCCCACGCTCATAGCTTGAGGTGCTTGTAAGTTAATGGTGACGGAGGGGAAAAGCTGTGAGATTGCCACACAAGAAGTGTCTCGGTGAGCTTTGTGTACTTTTCCCCTGTTTCTTTCCACCTTCCTGGCGTCGAGGTGCCATCCCGATATTACACGTGGCACGGACCACACCTTTTTTTCCTTGGGTCTGCAGTAAATTAGCGCCCTGAATTACTCCAAGCGGCCCGGGGCCCACGATGGCCCCCGCATGCCAACAGGGCGCCCTTGCATTTTGCAATACAGCCTGAATCTGCCGGCCTCTGCCACCACTCGCTACTCGTGGGTTTTCTCTCTGCTCCACCCCCAGGATCCAGCCATCTGCAGTTCCAAGATGGCCCTTTCTCCATAATAGCCGTGGGGTAGCACGGCTCGAGGGCAGCTGGGCCAACGTCGGATGAACTTGTGCTCGCTCCGGGGCGCTGAGATGGTGGTCGTGACGCCTGCTCAGATCCTCCTCACCTGTGCTCCCCCGCACGCCGCCCCAACTAAGGCCCCAGGACGTGCTATACGTCGATTGGGCCCATTCTCGGCCATGACGCCACGCCGGCAAAATTCCCCTCGACAGCCTGCTGCTGCTGATTCGGGTTCGGTCACCTGGGACGAGCAGGTTGTAGCCCCGGATACAATGTCCACCGGCACCCAGCGTCCCACCCTCTCCGCAGAGAGGGAGGCGTGTTGTGACATGGAGCCATAGCCGATGAGACAATACAAGAGGGACGGCCTCGCCCCTTGTCTCGGTAGCCTACCATTGTCCTTCTGCAAGCCGTCATCGACCGCTGCCGCTGACCATGCTCATCAGCCGTCTGATCCTCCTGCCTCTCGGCTTTGCGGCCGCTGAGTCGGGCATCGACGCCTGGCTGCGCTATGCCCGTGTCCCCAAGGCTAGGTGCTACCAGGCCGCCGTCCCCGACACCGTCGTCGCTTTGAACAGCACTACTGTCAGTCCCGTCTACACGGCCGGCCAGGAGCTGCAGAAGGGCATCAAGGGCATGGTCGGCAAGGACGTCTCGGTCCAGCACAAAGCCGCCGGTGGCCGCTCAATAATTGTGGGCACTGTTGCTGCCTACACGGAGAGCGGCGGCAACGCCAAGGACCACCCCAAGCTTGCTGGTCTCATCAAGGACGGCTACTACCTGTCCATCGCCGGGACCAACACCCTTATTCTTGGCCAGAATGAGCGGGGCGCGCTGTACGGCGCGTTCCGCTATCTCGAGCTGATCGGCCAGGGCAAACTCTCCTCCATGCTTTCTATTGCCTCGAACCCCGATGTGCCCATCCGCTGGGTCAATGTACGGCGCTTTCATCTTCATCTTTCCCTCCTTTTGCGCATTATCAGCCCCTTGTCACTGACGACCTAGCAGCAATGGGACAACATGCAGGACGGCGGAACTCACGGCAGCATCGAGCGTGGATATGCCGGCAACTCGATTTTCTTCTGGGCTGGCCAGATTCGCCAAGACCTTACGCGCGTCTCGCAGTATGGCCGGATCCTGGCCTCGATTGGCATCAACGCGGTGGTGATCAACAACGTCAACGCCAACGTGAACCTGCTCAGTAACACCAACCTCGACGGCGTGGCTAGAATCGCCGACGCCTTCAGGCCGTGGGGCATCCAGGTCGGCATGTCGCTCTTCTTTGCTTCGCCAAGGGACCTCGGTGGCTTGCCCACCTTTGACCCGCTGGATAAGACTGTGATCAAGTGGTGGGGCGACAAGACGAACGACATCTACAAACGCGTGCCCGACTTCGCCGGCTACCTCGTCAAGGCAAACTCGGAGGGCCAGCCCGGCCCCCTGACCTATAACCGCACCCTGGCCCAGGGCGCCAATCTTTTTGCCCATGCCCTCAAGCCCCACGGCGGCACTATCATGTTCCGGGCCTTTGTCTACGACCATACGACTCTCAATCAGGATCTCGACTGGAAGGCGGACCGTGCCAACGCTGCTGTGCAGTTCTTCCAGGGGCTCGACGGCAAGTTCGAGGACAATGTTGTCATCCAGATCAAGTACGGTCCCATTGACTTCCAGGTTCGCGAGCCCGTCAGCCCTCTTTTCGCCCACCTCAGGAAGACTCCGTCTGTGGTCGAGTTCCAGATCACGCAGGAGTACTTGGGCCAGCAGGCTCATCTGGTCTACATCCCGCCCATGTGGAAAGAGCTCCTCGACTTCGACCTCCGCGTGGACGGCAAACCGTCCCCGCTCAAGTCCATCCTCAACGGCAACGTTTTTGGCCGCCCGGGTGGTTACGCGGGCGTTGTCAACGTCGGCCTGAACGAGACGTGGCTGGGAAGCCACCTCTCCATGTCGAACCTGTACGCCTACGGCAAAATGGCCTGGGACCCCGAGTCGGACCCGGACGCGCTGCTGAGGACGTGGACCAAGCTCACCTTCAGTCACGACCCTGCCGTGGTCGACACCATCTCGGACATGTCGATGGAGTCGTGGCCGGCATACGAGAACTACACGGGCAACCTGGGCGTGCAGACGCTGACCGACATCCTCAACGCCCATTATGGCCCGAACCCGGCGTCACAGGACAACAACCCCTGGGGCCAGTGGACGCGCGCCGACGCCGACAGTATCGGTATGGACCGTACGGTTTGGAACGGCACCAGGTTCTCGGGCCAGTACCCGGCCGAGGTGGCGGCGCGCTACGAGAAGATTGAGACGACGCCCGACAACCTGCTGCTCTGGTTCCACCACGTGCCCTACACGCAGCGCCTCAAGAGCGGCAAGACGGTGATCCAGCACTTTTACGACGCGCACTACGACGGCGCCGCCGTGGCGCAGACCTTCCCGACGCGGTGGGAGTCGCTCAAGGGCAAGATGGACGACAGGCAGTACGACGAGCAGCTGTCCCGGCTCGTGTACCAGGCCGGCCACGCCCTCGTGTGGCGCGACAGCGTCTGCAACTTCTACTTGAACAAGAGCAGCATCCCCGACGACCGGGGGCGCGTCGGCAACTACAAGTACCGCATCGAGGCCGAGAACATGGTCCTCGACGGCTACCTCCCCTACCGCGTCCAGCCCTTCGAGTCCGCCTCGCGCGGCTGGGCCATCGTCACGAGAACAAACACCACAAAGGGCTCCGCCACGACGTGGCTCCGCAACGTCGAGAGCGGCAGGTACGACGTGGCCGTCAACTACTACGACCAGGCCGTCGGGCGCGCCGCTTGGGAGCTCTTTGTCGGCGGCCGCCTCGTCGGCTTGTGGAAGGGCGACATGGAGTACAGGATCGGCAAGGCGCCGACCTTTTACATTGACGGCCAGGCCGCCGTGCGCATCACCTTCAAGGGCGTCGACGTGACCAAGGGCGACATGCTCAGGATCGTGGGCACGCCCGACGGCCGGGAGCCGGCCCCGATCGATTACGTCTCGATACTGCCCGAGGGGGTGGTGGATTGAGGCCGGTTTGTTTGTGAGCGTGTGACGCTTACCACATGTAAAATAATACTACCAGAGAATGGTGTGCTTCGTATAATAAAAGCAAAAAGGCCCTTACTCGGTGGGCAACGGAATGACCAGGGAGATAAAAGTCCCACGTTGAGCAAATAAAGTTGAAAAAGGTCCACCGATTTTAAGCTCAACATCCCGAGGTCGCCAAACCTTCTTTCCTCACCTGTCTTGAGCCGCGATCAAGGGACTCGGGATTAAACTTTTCGGCTCGCACACATCCCAGTCCTTCCGGGCAGTAGCGAATGCATGGTCCAACAGCTAGGCGGGTCGCCAAGAAGGAGCCGTTGAGAAGAGTTTATCATCATTCATTTGACTGTTTAGTATCTATTACATATGTCCTCCCTCTCGTATCGCATGTCGTCGCGTGCGTCGTGACAAGTTATTATCATCCCCCCCATGGCCATCCTTTGAAAAAAAAAAAAGAAACCACCCTTGAGGATGGAAAAGTCAACAACGCCGGATAGGTCTAGCCCAGACAAACGAAAAAAAGAGCCCGAAGTCAGCGGTTCTAACAGCACACATTACTTCGTGACAAAGCCATCCTTCCGCTCAAGCAAACAGCTTCTTGAAGACGGCCCTGAACCCCTTGCCCTCCTTGTCCTTGAACCTGACCTTGTTCTTCTCCTTCTCCAACGGCCGATCCTGCCTCTCCCGCTCGTCGTCTCTGTCTCGCCTTCTCTTCCCGTCCGCCCTGTCGTCGGTGCTCGCGCGGAGCACTCCCGGGGGGACCGCCGCTGTTCTGCTCTGGTCTGGCGCCGACGCCGCCGTGGCGCGACGACGCCGCTCCACGCCCGGAGAGTCCGGCGGCGGCGCGGTTGCCGACGCCGACGCCCTCCTCTCGGCCCGCGCGCGGCGGTGGTGTTCCCGATCCCGCCCGGAGCCGCTCCTCGGCGACGGTCCGGCTAGTCTCTCGGCTGGAGAGGCCGGGACGGAGCGGGGCACGCGGTCGCTCGGTAGCGTCTCGGCCACCTCATCGGGGTGCCGTTCCCTGCTGTTCCTGCGAGGGGAGGCTAGGCTCGCCGAGTTCCTGGCCGCAAACGAGAAGCCGTCCCGAGATGATCTCCTCGACGACCGGTCTGTCAAGGAGCGCTCCTCCGCCGCTCGCCGAGCTTGCTCGGCTACTCCTTCGCGAGCTGCCTGCAGCCTCCGAGTGTCCTCAGATGTTCTACTTGATCCCTGTCGCGAGCAGGTTGTGCTTGATCGCTTCGGCGTGCCGAGGTCCCATTTGACACCGTTGCTAGGCTCCAGCTTTGTCGAAGACGACGACGACGATGTGGACTTGTGGTGGTGGTAGTGTGCAGAGTGCTCGTCCCTCCTCCTCCTGCTGCCGCCGCCTGTAGCCGCCTGGGACGCCGCCGCCCTTGCGGCAAACGATGATGACACTGTGTCAAATTCCCCCCCGACCGGCAGCGCCTCCGAGGCTGTTGCCGCCCTCCTGTGTGCCCTGGGGTTGAGATCGGGGATCTGTGTTGTGCCGTATTGAACATCCGGATCGGACTCTACCACGCTCTTTCTACGCTTGACGCTGAAGAGTCGCCTAAAGGGTGTCTTCGTCTCCGGCTCCTTGGTTGCAGGCTGTGTGCTTTGCCGCCGCGAGTTGCGCTCCTCGCGGGCCTTAGCGGCGGGGCTGGATCCCGCACCGGCAGTAGCTGCCAGGCCCGCCACCCCAGCGACCGCCGTGGCCGCCAGGACGGCCGTGTCACTGCCCTTGCCGCTCCGCTGCGAGTCGGAGCCGCGGCGCTCGCGGCGCTCGCGAGCCGCCTGACGCTCGGCGCGGCGCCTCTTGTACTCATCCTCCTCCTCGGGAGTGAGGTGCTTGGGCTTGTGCGGATTGTCGGAACCCGAGCGAGCCGAGACGTCACCTTCTTCACGATATCTGCGGTGGCGGTGGCGGTGGTGGTCCCTGCCGTCATCATCCCGGGCACGGGCATGGCTTGAACCAGAGGGGTCCTCGGAGTGACGGTGATGGTGGTGGTAGCGGCGGTGGCGGTGTCGCTCACCTCGGCCCGAGTCCGGATCGTGCGTCCGGGACGATCGAGACCGCGATTTGTCGTCTAAGAACAGGTCAGCAACGGAATCACGAAGTGCTCCCTCTTGCCTCCCTACGCTGCCCTCGGCTGTGACTGTCGATGTCGACCCCTCGGAACTCAGATAGAACGGGTCGTCGTCAAAGTCAAACCCCCTCTCCCACTTGGTGCTTGCTAGATTTGGTGATCCCCTTGGGCTGAGAACCTCAGCCGTGGCGTATATAACCACCGCAGTCGCAATCATGTCCTCGGCGTTCCGAACAGATAGCTTCTTCTGTCTCTGGAGGCTCTTCTGCGTCACCAACGGATCTTCTGGGTCTGGTAGTACCATTCCCGGGGTCGGTGCTCGCATCAGGTCGGTGCTGCGGAAGCTCGCCAGGCTCTTGGGCTTGAAAGGACGCAACAAGTCCGTCTGCGTGCCCATGTCCATGTAATACGGCTTGACGTCAGTGCTGCTGACACTGGTATCTTGCACGGTCCGACCGACCTCTGGATCCTCGTCAAAGACTTGGCCAAACGAATGGACTGGAGCTGCCCTGTCCGGTGATGGGAGGGCCTGGTCTTCCTCGGGCGATGCAAGTTGGTGGGCTGCAGTGAGACCGGCGGTCCCAACCACAGCAACAGCACCGACGGCCAAGGCTGCTTCCCCAGGGCCAAAATCGTACCCATGGTCAAGCTGGTGATAGGGATACGACACCCACTCTGTCTGCACTACGGCCTCAGCGGGCGCGGCCCCTTCAGGCGCCTCGGAACTAGTTTCGTGCTCAACAGGTGCAGGCTCAAACGACTCTTGGCGTAGCATGCCCTCGGCGATGTATCCCGCATGACTTCCACTGGCGAAAGAGAAGTAGTCGCCTTGGAAGGGCACCGGAGCCGGCGGAGCCTCAGGCTCGGCAGACGGCTCAATGACAGGAGGGTAGCCATAAATGACATCTTGCTCTGTGGGTGCTGCTTCGACTGGCTCATAAACTGGTGCATACTGGGCTGCCATTCCGATGTTCGTCCCCGATGCCGGCTCTCCAAGATAATAGTTCTGGCTGGCATAAAGCGGCGACATCCCATACTCTGGGGCGGGTTCTTGGAATACATAATCTTGGGCGGCCAGCGCAAATGTGTCGCTAGCGCCTTGTTCGACTTGTGGGTCGCTGACTGCCTCTGAGCGTCCAGCACCTGGCTCTTCAGCTTGGGCAACGGGCTGACTTTCCACTGGCTCAGTAGCCGTTTCGGTCCATGGCTCGACTGGAACCTGGTGGAAGACCTCATCAGTAGGCTCCGTGGCTGGTTCGGGTTCGACAGGCGCGGAATCTTGGGCAACCTCGACTGCCGCATCTTCCCCGATGGTGGCGACTGGTTCGGGCAGAAGCGCTCCATCTCCCTGTGCCTCTCGAGCCGGCTCTTGAGCTATCGCAGCCTCGGATGCACCCTCAGACACAAGGGTCCCAGGAGTTCTGGGGACGACGTCTTCGGAAAATCCATACTTTTGGCGGAGAGGCGAGAAGGCCACGGGACGGAACGCGGTTGGCGTGAAGGCGGCATATTCGGTGACGAAGGAGTCGTCCATGGCAGAGTCCTCCATGTCGGCGTCGACGGCGGTGCCAGGCGCGGCACGACGAGGAGTGGTGGGTATGGCGGGAGATGCTGCAGGGGGCTCGGTAGGGGAATTTAAAGCCAAGTCGGAAGCAGGCTCGTCTATCAGCCTGGTGGTATTGTCGGCCAAGGGTTTATCGACAGGGTCCGCGACAGGGTCCGTGACAGGGTCCGTGAGCGGGTCGGCGGCGGGTTCCGTGATTGCGTGTGCGGTGGGTTCCGCGCCCGCGGCCGGCTCCGCAATTTCCTCGGCAGCAGCCTCGAGTTGGGCTTCGAGTTGGGCTTCGAGTTGGGCTCCTATGGCCGGGCTAACCACCAACTCGGGCCCAACTGCGGGCGCAGAATCGGAACCGTGTCCAGCAGCGCCCTCTTCGACAGCCTCAGCAGCGCCCGCAGAAGCTGCCTCCTCAGGAGGTTCGGTGGTTGACTCGGCAGCAGCCTCGACAGGCTCCACCACGGAATCACCTGAGACTAGTGGTTCGATTGGTGCCACGCCAGTCTCTGCTCCTTGTGCAATATCATTGCCACCATAAGTGCCCACGGCCTCGGTCGCCTGATCAGGCCAGCTTTCTTCGTTTGTGCCGTCTGCTCGAGTCGAATCTGTGATGTCCGTTGCCGCCAGTCCATCCGGTGCTTCTTCGCGCAGGGCTTGCTGTTGCTGCTCCATCTCCTCCTCCGCGCTTCCCTTCACCACTGCGAAATCTTGATCCTGCAGCAGAATCTTATCGGCGTTTTCCATGACGCCTTGGTCGCTTCTCCCTTCTTCTGCAGCAGGGGAGACATGGGGGCCATCGACGCCCCTGGGCTGGCCACCAGCCTCTAGCAAGCTCCCTTCCCCAGATTGACAACCAGACACAGTCACAGCCTCCCCCTCATCTCCACCTTGGGAGTGTACGATTAACAAAGATGGGGACTCACCTTTGTCCGACTTTTCTTGCTCTGCGATCACGACCAGGACCGGAATTGGCCCAACAGTATCCTTGCTCTCCTCCACCTCCAACACATCCGTCCTCACCTCAACCGCCTCATTCGCGAGATCATCAGCTGCTGCCGCCGCCGCAGGCTCAGGGTCAGAGGCTTCCTCGGGGGTAGGGGCCGCTTCAACAGCAGCATCGAAAACGACTTCTGTTGCTGGAACTGGCTCGGCAGCGGCCGCTTCTGGAGCGGCCTCTTCTAGAGCAGGCTCTGCAGCTGGAGTCTCTTCGAGGGGAGTCTCTGCAACGGACGTCTCCTCGGGAGCTGCCTCGGCAATTGGTGCCTCTTCGGAAACTGGTTCGGGAACGGTTTCTTCAAGAGCAGGCTCTGCAACTGGGGCTTCTTCTGAAGCTGGCTCGGCTGCTGCCTCTGCTACAGAAGCTTCAGCGTCAGCCTCTACGGCTAGGGCAGCTCCAGCAGCGGACTCGTCTTCTGGGACAGGCTCTGCAGTTGCCTCTGCGACGGGCGCTTCTTCAAAAGTGACTTCTGCTGCTGGGGCAGGCTCTGCAGCAGACGTTTCTTCAGGGGCAGCTTCTTCAGTCGGGATAGCCTCAGAAGTGAAAGCTTCATCAGCAGAAGATTCTTGCAGAGGAGGCTCAACAGCGGGTGCTTCCTCGGAGGCGGCTTCCGCGACTGGAGAAGGATCTGAGGCGAGCTCTTCCCCAGAGGCAGTTTCAGCGATCGGGCTAGCCTCAGTAACGGGAGCTTCGTCCAAAGCGGTTTCGGCAGCGGGCGCTTCTTCAAAAGCGGCCTCGGCGGCGGCGGCATCAGCCGCAGGAGCCTCTCCCGGAGAAGGTTCTGCAGCTGCCTCCACAGCTTGCGCTTCGTCAGAGACTGTTTCTTCAACTGGGGCCTCATTGGGAGCTGGCTCTGTCGGGGCAATCTCGGGAGGAGCTCCATTAGTGGGAGCATCTTCTGGGGCAGTGTCCTCTGGGGCAGCGTCCTCTGGGGCAGCGTCTTCTGGGATAGCTTCCGCAAGAGCAACCGCTTCATCAGTGACAGCATCCGCAGGAGATACCTCCTCGGACACAGGTTCTGTGGCTGGGGCCTTCTCAAGGGGAACATCTGCTGGGACCGCCCCTGTGATAGCCTCTTCGGAATTTGGCTCTGCGGGAACAACCACCTCTTCGGGGATAGCCCGTGAAGTCACTTCTGCGGCTGGGCTCTGCTCGGCAACGGGATCTGGGGTTTCTTCCGCTGCGGCCTCTGCGGGCGTAAGGTCTTCCTCGAGAGTAGCCTCTTGAGTAGGAACCGCCATAATGGGTATCTCAGTAGGAGGCTGCTCTGGTGCAGATGCGGCAACTGCCTCCGGCTCAACGTCTGCAGAGGCAGCTTCTTCGGAGACAGCCTCTGGTGAGGGAACCTCTGGGCTAGACTCTGCAGGAGCATGTGCTTCTTCTGCAGAGGTTTCAGCTGGAACGAGCACCTCTGCAGCCATTGCATCTTCTGGGCCAGATTCTACCTCGGGGGCTGGAGGGGGAGCCTCCTTCAGAGCGGGGGTCTCTTCTGCCGCACCCTCCTCAACGGATGATGCCTCTGCAGGCGCAGGGGCCGCCTCAGAGGCGGATTCTTCGACCGGTGCGGGGGTATCTTGAGCAGCGAGCTCTTCTGTTTGCGCAGGCTCTGGCGCAACATTTGCTTCGTCCGATCCCGGCTCCGCAACCGGCGCCTCGAATGGCGCCTCGGCTGGCGCCTCGTTGGAGATCACTGGAGCTGGCTCCGCAATAGTTTCGGTAGGGTAATCGGCAGGGATGTCTGCAAGGCTGTCACCTTCCTTCCCGCTAGCCGCCGTACCAACCACAGTACAGGCGGCACCAGCAGCGGCCACCATTGCGAGGGATAGATCTGATTTCTCCGTCGAAGCATCTGCATCACCGCAAGTTTTGGTGGGAGCACCGCCAAGCGCTTCAACTCCAGCATCGCAGGGAGTATCGGCATCGGCAGGAGTATCGTCTTGAACATGGGCAGAAGAGTCGGCAAGTGCAGTAGGAGGTGTATCCGCGGGGACCTCATCATTGGCAAGGTCCTCAGACTCGTTAGCGGGCTCCGCGACATCTGCCTTGACTTCAAGGGCCTCAACCGGAGCAGTGTCGTCTCGGGCATTTGTCTGCTCGCCCGTAGCCTCGGCCTCTGAGTTGGCGATTGGGGCGGCCCCGTGTGCAGACTGGTCTTCGGCGTCGATGGCCTTCTCCTCGGTCACCTCTTGGGGCTCCGCAGGGGAGTCGGCCTCAGACTCAACCCCTTCAGTTTCGGTGATAACATCTTCGACTGGCTCGCTCGCAGCTTCGGGCTCCACTGTAGTGACCTCTGCAGTTTTGACGTTCGGCTCGGCGCTAGCAGCCTCTTCCGGTGTAGAACCCTCGGTGGTGTCCGATGTCTCTGAATGTGCCGAGGTGTCTTCCGTCATCAAATCAACCGTGACTGAGGTCTCTTCAGGAGTAGTCTCTGCAGTAGCGGGCTCAGAAACCACCTCATCCGATTCCGGAGCCTCGGCGGCTGGCTCATCCTCCACAACCGTAGCTTCCACGGCAGCAGCGGCCTCTTCGGGGACCGCAACCTCCTTTGCATTGAGATCTTCCAGAGCCAGGACTTCTTCAGCGGGAGAGCTCTCTGTGGCGGCTGGTGCCTCCTCTGCGACAGCAGTTTCTTCGACAGCAGGATCATCTTTGGGGATGATATCCTCCGTGGCAGGGGGTTCCTCCGCGACATCAACTTCCTGAGCAGCAAAGGCTTCATCGACGGTAGGGGCTTCATCGCTGGCGGCGGCCTGGTTGGCGGCAGGGGCCTCATCAGTGACAGAGGTTTCCTGGGTAGCAAGGGCACCATTGACGGCAGGGGCTTCGTCGTTGGCGGCGGCCACGTGAGTGGCAGCAGCTTCCTCCGTGGGGGATTGTTCAATGGCTGCAGCCTCCTCCGAAACAGGGCTTTCCACGGCGACCGGTGCTTCATCAGTGGCCTCGACAGCCTCTTGAGCGCTGCTGTCCGTTGCTACAGGGTCCGTTGCGTGTTCGGCTAACGGAGGGATATCCTCTGTCGCGATTTCTGGCGTATTGCCTTCTGGTACCTCGGCGGGAGGCGGAGCATCTGCGGTGGGCTGTTCGGGCGCCGAAGGCTCGGCAACCGCAATCTCGCCGTCGGGCATTCCGTTCGATTCTGCTGGCTCAGTGGCAGCGGCTTCGGGCCCAGTCGCATCTTGCTGCTTTGCCTCCCCTAGTTCTGGCGCTTGGGAGTTCTGGACAGAAGGATGAGCCGCGTCGTCGGTCGCAATAGTGTCGACGGCTGTCTCTACAGCCGCAGGCACAACTGCGTCTGGCTTGGGCACCTCGGGGGCTTCGGCGGCAGCCTCTGGTGAGGGGCCTTTTTCCACCTCGGGAACATCCGCTACTGTTGGCTCAGTCTCGCTAGTACCTGCCTCTTCCGTTCCTTCCGGAATAGCTTCAGTGGTCTCAAGAGGCTCCGGCTGAGTTGGAGGCTCCGCCTCCGCTTCGCCTGGGACAGCACCAGAAGCAGGAGCTTCGTTGTCTGTTTTGGGTTCGTCTGCCACAGTGTCCGGAGTAGCAGAGTTCTCTGTCTCAGTAGCGGGAGCCTCATCCTGCGACCCCCCCTCAGCCTCGGGTTTCGTCGCCGTGATATCAGCCATATTGGTAGGTGAGGCTGCCGACCCTTCCACAGGCTCCACGGCGACCTCGTCTGCAGGCCCAGATGCGAGCTCTGGCGTGGGTTCTCCCTTGGCATCCTCGTTGGGACCAAGAGGAGATTCCTCAGTGAGGTCTGGGGTGGCTTCTTGCGCGGCGGCTTCGGCATCTAGAACACCCTCGAAGTTTTCGACTATTGCGCCGTCCCGATCCGACCCCTCTAGTGCAGAGGCCGGTTCCACGGCCGCAATCGTAGCCTCTGAAACCTGATCTCCCGACGCCTCTGGGGTCACTTCTCCAGTCTCAGATGTGGGGCCTGCTGGCACGGCATCGAGAGCTGCCACGATTGTATCGCCATCTGCTTCTTCCACGGGAGTAGATGCAGGGCCCACCTTGTTTCCGTCAGGCTGGGCTTCTTGTTGCGAAATGTCCGCCTTGTGCTCTTCGCCGGCCACATCCACTGCGGTACCCCGTACCACAGCTCCTGTCGGGGCAGCTTCGGTAGACTCCTCGGCCGGGAGCACAGTGAGGCCCTCCGACTCTGCTTGCTGTTCTGGGGCCGCGGCTGGCGCCTCGTCAGGCTCCAGGGCACACGCTGGTGTCTCCTCGGTATGTGGTTGCGCCTCTTCGGCAGGCTCTGTGATTGATTCTGTCGCGGTCTCCGTGGGCTCTGTAGTTATAGTAGAAGTCTCTTCAGGAGTGGGAGTAGCTTGAAAAGCGACGTCTCCCTCAGAAGCTCCAGGAACAGTCTCAGCAGGAGTATCGGCGGAAGCCTGGATGACGGATTCCACTTCCGCAACAGGAGCCTCTTCAGTGGCAGTCATCTCCTCGGGGGAGACCTCAGGAGCAGTGTCCGAAGTAGAAGTCACTTCAGCCACAGCCTCGATGGGAGGTCTCTCCCCCGGAGCGGCCGTCTCCTCGACAGCAGCTTCTGCCGGCGGGGCTTCGGAAACGGAATCCGTCGTGGAGGCTTCCGGGACAGTCTCTGCCACATCAGCTTTATGGGAGGTCTCAGGAGCGGAAGCATCAGGGGAAGTGTCGTCAGGGATGGCCTCGGCGGCAGCGGTTCCATGAATTGGCTCGAGTTCTGGCTCAGCCTTTGGCTCCTTCGAGGCGCCATTCTCGCCTTCATTCTCCCCCTCGTTGTTGACATTGCCAGTGACTTGCCCGGCAGGATCTTCGATATCCTGTTCCGAAGCTGGCTCGGTTATGCCCGCTGTATCTTGAACGACAGCCGCATCCGTAGAAGGTTCGGAGGCGTTTTCGACAACCAATTCCGGGGTAGACACTGCAGCTACTTCCGTTGTTGGCTCAGTGGTAGGTTCGGCGGTGGATTGTTCAGAAGTCTCGGCGACGGGCTCTGCAACATCGATAGTGGGTTCTGTGGTCAGCTCCGAAGAAGGCTCGGCAGCGGGCCATGCAGAAGGCTCGGCATCCGTATTGTCCTCAGCAGCCGCAAAAGCCGGCTCTTCGGGAGGATTTGTGGCGAGCTCGGCGGCAGCATCTAATCCGCCAGAAGCCGGTTTGACAGATGCCTCCTCTGCGGGCGCGACAGGAGCCCCCGCAGTAGGCCCAGCATCTATATCTGACTGCGGCGTAGCATCAGGCTCTGCGATGGGCTCACTAGGCTCTGCGGCGGGTACCCCGGCAACTTCATCACCTCCATCTGCAGATGCGGCAGCTGGCTCTGCGACCGGCTCTGTAGCTGGTTCCGCGGCGGATTCTGCGATTGGCTCGGCGGCGGGTTCCTCGGTAGGCTCTGTAACTGCCTCTGCAGCAGGTGCCTCTGCAGATGCATCAACTGGCTCGGCGGGTGCCTCGGTAGGCTCAACGGCTGATGCTTCGGCGGCGGGTGTCTCGGCCGCTTCAATATTAACATCTGCAGGTGCGGCAGCTGGCTCTGTGGGTGCCTCCGTAGGCTCGGTGGTGGGTGCCTCAGCGGCTTCTATATTTGCCTCTGCAGGTACGACGGCTGGGTTTGCAGTAGCCTCTGCGCTTGGTTCTGTGATTGGCTCCGGAGTGGGTGCCTCCACGGTCGATTCCACGAGTGCCTCTGCGGGTGCGGCAGCCGGCTCTGCGGGTGCCTCAGTAGGCTCGGCTGCCTCACCAGGCTCGGCGGCTTGGGTATTTGTCTCTGCAGGTGCAGCAGCTAGATCTGAAGCGGGCTCTGTCATCGACCCAGCGGTCGGATCTGCAGCTGCCTCTGGTACGGCTTCTAGTGCAGCGGCTTTCTTGCCCTTCTTTTTCTTCTTTTTTAGCGTGGCAGCCTGGTTTGATTCGTCATCGGCACCCGTATCCTCCTCAACTGGTGTGGGGGAGGGCTCGGTGCCGGACTCTGGTGCTGGCTCTACACCCTTCCTGCTCCTCTTCTTCGACTTGCCAGGATCTGGATATTCATCTTCTCCCGACTCCTCGGCCACTGTTTCTGGTTGTGCCGGTGCAGGCTGGGCAGCGCTCTTCTTGCCCTTCTTCTTCTTGGACTTTGCAGTGGCCCACGCATCGGTGTCGGATGCCTGAGTAGTGGTGTCATCAACAGTTGAAGTCACTATTGAGGACGTGACATCTCCCCAAGATTCCGTGTCGTCCAGTGCCGTACCCAGGCTCCCTGTGGAGTTCTCGAGTGAGGCTGACTTCTTGCTCTTCTTCTTCTTCTTCTTTTTTGAAGAAGTACTTGCGGGCTGCTGCCACGCATTTTCAGCCATTTGCCCATTGCCTGCGTCCACAGTCAGCTGCCGAATGCATCGCCAATGTTTTCAAACATCTGCAAACTTACCATACGCGGCCCCCTCGTCCTCTCTGCCAGAATCAGGGCCCATGAAGTACTGAACGTTGGAGTAATCGGCGAATACTGGAGCGTCGTATTTGGCAACTGCAATGTTGTCGAAATTTATGGTAGAGACTGCCGGTTGGAACTCCATTCCCAATCGCTGTAGAGTGGGAAGCCGGCGTCCTTATCAGCGTCGCGCAGGGCTGCATGGGCGTTCTAGGCCGCGCCGCGCCGACGACGTCACCGGCCTTGTGGAGATCTGTGTGTCGGCGTATGTTCCTACAGGTGCCTTTTTGGTGTAAGGGAGGTATCCTTGGAGCCACTTTGCGAGGACAGGTCGTGTGTCCAGTCTCTGGAATCGGGGAGGCCGTGTAAGTGGATCAAGATGTGGAACAAAGGTGAAGACCCGGACAGAGCTTCCTTGGGTATTGGGGGTATAGCAGGTAATGTACAATGCATAAAAACGAGGCTTTGGGCCGTCACGAAGGGCCGGTCAAGATTCGCAAAGACTTTTGCACTGGCAAGTCCTGGATGATGCCTGCAATAAGCTGGAGAAGGGGAAAGGGGGAACTGTTGACAGTGACCGCCAGAGACGAGAGGGGAGAAAAGTCTGTGAGGTGGTCAGGGGACCCTGGATCAGCTAAGGCCCTGGTGATCCACAGAAAAAGAATGGGCAAAAACAGAGCTATGAGCCCCACGGATGAACAAACAGTCTGCGGCAATCCAAAGATCAAAATTTTGACCTATGGCCGAGCTCAAATGATCAATATCGTGCCTGTGCATCATTGGCCCGATTACTGACCGGGTGGCGCCACGTAGTCGGAGAAGGGGGTGGACTGAGTTGTACGGGGTTCGGTACTGGGGGGGTGCTGGAGGACGGCATGGGGGAGTTGGAGGGACAATGGGCGGCGTGCAACCACCCAGTCCGTGTCCGTCTGTTTTTCGTAGGCGGGCAGGTACCTGGAGGCAGGTATCGCCTTCATCAAGCAGCCTGCAGCGCCTTGGCCAAGGCAGAGAAACACCAACGGGATGCTGTAATGGCCCTCACGGCTCCGGGGGTCTGCAGAGAGCCAGGCCGGACGGAACCATGCGCTTCACAAGCCTCAACTTTGGCCGCGCATGCATCGCGCTGCAGTAGTGCAGCGTGTCCCACAGCGGCAGGCCGCGGGGCTCGCGCTGACTGGGCAAGCCGAGGCGGCCGGCCGGATGACGGCCCAACTTGGTTGACCCTGACTGGTGCATGCCGGACCCCCTAGAACATGTACGTAGGTCGGGCACGCGTGATTTCAATGTGATGAGGGAAGTCGCACGGCATGCCGGACCCAAGTTTTTGGACATGATGGGCATTGGCCATGAATCGAGACGGCTGGTATGACATTGGGCCCCTGGTCCGTCGTCGGGTCGCCGGCATTGGACGGCTTCGCCTTGGTGCGGCTCCCCGCAACATCTAATACCGCAGTTCCCCGTCATACGCAGCCTTCAGCAAGATCGAGAGGTAGTCAGCGACAGCCGATGGCCAGAGAGGGAGGGAGGTGTCAGCGCTGATCGCGCAGAGCCCGCCATGCGGTGAGCCACCATCGTGGGGCCTGCAGCGGTGGGCGTCCGCCTCCCCCTCAATCCTATCGAAGGGCATAGGTGGACAGGGAGGCCGATTGCGCCGTGCTGGCTGCAGAGACCGACACAGACCGGTCGACCCCTGTTGCCAATTACCGGTTAGGTGAGTTATTTGTTTGGCCGGAGCTCGCCTCCAGGGGATGAAGGGTTGGATGGTTGGACGGATAGAGGGATGATTGATAGCATGACAGATAGTGATAGGGACTAACCCCGCCTTGCACCCAGCACGACTGAGATGATGCATGCGGTGCCTGGGCAGGTAGGTGGTAGGTGCTGTGTATGACCAGCAGCCGAAGCAAGACACGCCTACCTAGGCCTAAACAGGGCTTCAATTGACGAGCAATTGATCAAGCTGCAACCAGCCAGTTGCGGTGGAGGACGAGGCGGGTTGAGGCGGACGGGGACGAGTGGTGACAATTGTCGAATGGGCGCACCTCTCCAAGCCTGTGCTAGGTTGGGTGGGTTCGAGATTTGCTGGTCTGCTACGTGGCATGCAATTGGAGGCTAGGCGGCAGGAGCGCCCCTGCGACGCAACGCAAATGGCTCAAACGGCCCAATCCAGGCCGGCCGGCGAGCACAGGCCTGTGTGGGGCAGCTGCATGAGAGAGTGCCACTGCGTTCTTGGTAGCGGGCAGTCCAAGAGGGAATTGACGGAGGGAATTGACGGCAAGTGCGGAGAGAGGGGATGAAGCGATAGCCCAGCCCGAAAAACCACGTCCCACGGGAAGTGGTCCAGGCATCAATTGGCGAGTAATCGTCGGGCTCGCGTTCGATTGATTGATCCACTGGACCCCTCGCCGGCGGGCTGCCCACCTGCCGTGCCCGCGCATGTGCTAACTGCACAGTCGATCACCAAACCATGGCTAATGTTAGGTCGCCTCTGTTGTCCGCTCACACTCGCTTCCATCGATTGCGTGCCACTGCAATCTGGCCATGTGCAACCAGCCATACACGTGCTCGGCTTTTGGCGGCAGAAAGACGTGCGTGTGTTGAAGACCACCTGCGCAGCGGAAGAAGCACGTGTAAATTGCACGATACTCGTTTTTGTTGGTTTGAGGGCTTTCCAGAATCTTAGGCACGCCATCATCCGAGTCAGGAGTCATGAGTCCTGGTCTTGTTCTTCACCCAAATCTAAAAATCCAAGGCATGGGCGCTCCACGTCAGCCTCGGTCTGCCTTCTCCAAGACCGTGGTGCCCTCAGCTGGAGCACCTTGTCTTCAATGCGGTGGATCTTCCGGCACTTGCCTGCCCTTGCATGTTTGGTACGATCATCGATGTCAACCTCTCCGTTGGTTGTTGGCGCGTGCGCCAGAAGACGAGTCGAGACGGCAGACGTCTCTGCTGCTCTTCAATACGATAGGAACCTTTCGTCGCTGGAAAGGAGTCCTTTCCCGACCCCAAGTAATTCGATATACAGATGCATTTCCTTGTCCCAATGCAGCCTGCCTCGTCCTCTTCCAGCCTTGGTTACTCAACGCAGGTAGCAACAGGTGAAGGGCATCTTCGACCTCGCCTTTATAACTTCAACTACCTTTGAGTTGCGTGTCCATTCCCAGACTTGGAGGCATCATGTCAGGCTTCAAGTTTTGGGGCGAATAATCCTATGCCGGCCACCGCCCTTGGCCACTTTGGAATCCGAACTGTTAGAACTGCTAGAATTTTCTAATGATCTTTGATGCGTGTTTCTTATGTGTGGGCTTCTTTGTTGCGGAACTGGAAATGACTGCTAATCAGCACAGTCCCTCTTTCTGAATGATGATAACATTATATCGCATCAGATAGTCTTTCGTTTCTTTGAGCCTTTCCAAAGCGACAGCACATATTTGCATGAATGGACGTCTTTGCCCGCGTCAGGAAGACGAAGCTATAATATGCCTCCCATCTACTGCCTGGCGAGCGCCCATACTCTTCCATCTTCACTCTGCCTCTCACGCATCTTAGCCATTCCGTCTGACCCGCGAGAACACATACCGCTCCGCACCCGCAGTTCACAGACACAACATAAAGCATCCTTTGTGATGGCTACACGCAGAAGCCGCCGTCGGTGGCGCCATTCGGGGACTCGAGGGAAACGGGTAGCCTCGCAAGCCAACGGGGACGAGATGGTCGCGCCTGACAAACAACCGACGCCGGGGCACGCCGAAAGAGACAACTCAATCATCGTCGAGCAGGTTCGCCGCTATCTCAGCAGCACTGGCCCGGAGATCCTGGCAGCCCATGACGGCCATGTCCCCGGCACAATTCTGGAAACTCCCCAAGGGCAGGCATACGTCGGTGATGCACTCGTCGAAATGGCTGTACAGTGGATGGATGTCCGCTGGCGCGCACTGGAGGGGTACTGGGGGCGCGAGGAAGCGCCGCCGAAACGTCTCAGCCCACGGCGCCGTGTAAAAGACACGAAGAACTACATCAACTCATTCATCCATGGCGGGAATCTGCGCCACGACACCGTCATCACAAGCATAGGCTACGCCAAGAACCGGCTGGACGACGGCTCGAACAAGAAGGACTACGAGTCAATGCAAGAGCATCAGTTCTACGGGACTTATGGGATTGAGTTGGAGTTCGCAGAATGGCTCATCCAGCAGCAGAAGCCGCAGGATCCGCTTGCCGTGGGTGCGATCGACTATCCTCGCGTGATCAACATCATCGACCGCTACATCACGTGCTACGCAGAGGAGACTCAAATCAACAAGGGCATCATCAAGTCCAGCAAGAAGCGCAAGCGAGATCCTAGTGTTGGGACTGCTAAGTATAAAAGGTTTATGGACACCGTGAGCCAAATTTGCGCCAATGGACGAGTGAGGAAGAGCCCGATCGCCGACGAGGACCTCAAAAAACAGCTGAAAGATCGTGAGAGAGATCTGATACGAGTCTGTTCGGTGTGGCCGTCGTGGACCAAGTTCGAGAACAAGCCAAGGTGGGCGGTGACGCAAGCCGACCGTTTACAAGAGAGCTTTGGGAGAGTCATAAGGCATTGAAAGTGGACAGGAGAGGGCTTTCCTATTGTTTTCTCTTGTGCCTTTGAGTCTGTTTTGCTTATACTGTATCCTTTCCAGCTTTCCATCTCCCTTCATCCCCTATGATACCATCCACGTCCAACGTCTTCTCGTTTGATGGCGTCCATTCACATTGTTATCGCCCTTCTGATCACATCTCTTTTACCATACTATCTCGATCTTGTTTGTTTCCTTTGGGGCGCATTTTGCTTAGGAGGGAGGACTTCTTCGTCCGATGAATCGGGTGTGGAGCTTTGCCTACAAACATGACTAGAATTGTGCATGAGATGCATCCTATTATTCCGAAGCACAATAGACAGCCCGTAGATCGATCTTTCTAACTATTTTTTGAAGCCCTGAATCGCTTGCCGACAAGCATACCGTCCATTGAAGCCGGTTTCTTCGAGCCCAGCGACACCCGTCGTATTGTGCCAACAGCATTGACGTAGCCATACATGGCAGGCTTGTTTGGGCCTTCGAGGTGTTAGTAGGAGGGGTGACCAATCAGAAGCTTGACAGGGATCCAAAAAGGGCAAGTGCAGGGGAGTTGTGGGTCCAACGTTCCTCCTTCCCGCCGCGTTTGCGCCGCCTTCGGGCAGATCCCACCTGAATCCAACGACGACATTGGGTGGCAGGGTAACCATCTGATAAGGCTGAGGGTTCTAGCTGCATCAAATCTATCTCAGTGTCCGCGACAGGCCATGACACAACAAACTGTTGTTTTCGGCGCGGGTAGACTCGAGCAGGGCGTGGCGACAAGCAACCAACCTGACAGACCCAACAAAGCCCGAGGCGCTTGAAGATCATCCAACCCCGTCGGCGCTTCTACCTGGGCGCCATCGTCAGCCGCTACGAGGATCCCATTGACGCGGTGAGCCCGCCTTGGTTGCTATTCACGCTGAATAGAAACAGGCGACTTCCTATTGTTGTCCTAGATAAGCCTCACAATACGAACCGCTACTATTACTCGACTTCTCCCAGCCGCGGTCCGCCCTCGAATTCCTGAACTCCTCCACCTCACTCCTCCCATCCGCCCAGCCCAGCGCCAGGCGAGCAGACCGCGGACGAGTCCCAGGCCAAGTCGGACGGCGGAAAAGCCTCGAGGAAGACGCCGACAAGATCCCGTCACCTGACGGCCGACAACAAGATGACATCCCAGGGCAGCGTATCGCCGTCGACCGCGGTGGCACTGACGGCATCGCGGTTCTTCGATGTGGATCTCTTTAGCGATCCTATCGTGAAGCCCAACTTTTCCGGTGAGCCGAGATTGCTAAAGTGCCTCCCCGAGTGCCTTGACCAAAGCTAACCCTGCTTACTCCTGCAAGCTCGCTCGAGTGTCGGTGGGTTGCGACTCCCCGCGGACGCCTACAGCAACCATGCGCCGACTAACATTGCCCAAGCCCCGTCCGGCGCCAAAGCCGTGCCGGCTGCGCTAGCGCGGGATGGTCGAGTCAACGTCATGGCCATAAGCCACCTCATTTCGCCGCCGACATCGCCGACATCGCCGGGGTCGTTTGAGGAGCAAGGCAATGTGGTCTACAATCTGTACCCGCCTCAGGGCCCACCCAGAAAGGCAGTCGTCGAAGAATTGAACCAGGGCAGGCACGACGAAGAGCCTCCGGCGAAGCGCCAGAAGCTGGACCCCCTCCAGCCTCCCGTGTCGGCTCTACGCCGCTACTCGGCTCGCGCGCAGGGCCGCCGCACGGCGACGAAGGCGGACCGCATCTGGAACTTCCTCCCGCAGGAGATCCAGCTAAAGATCTGGGACATCGCACTCGAGGACGAGCTGGTCGGGCGGGTCGTTGTGGTGCAGAACCGCAACTCGCCGTACTTCAACCACCACGCGGAGGGCAGTGTCAATATTACCCCAGACCTCTCCAGTGTATCGCAGCAGGCGCGCGGCGAGTTTGAGCGCCACTACAAGAAGATGTTCGCCCGCATCCCCCTCAAGTCCTCGCAGACGGACTTCATCCGGGAGCGTCTCAGTTTGCTCCGGCCAAGCATCGAGAAGGCGCTGCAGCCCATCAAGGCGCTCGAGGTCGGGGACAAGTTCTGGAGAGACCGCTACAATGTCCCGAAGCGCACGGCTCCGCTGCAGCATAAGCCGACGCTCGAAAACATCATGGAGCATGGCAGGGCGACCATCAGGCTCATGCTCGACACGGCCGAGGAGCAGTGGGTCAACGTGGACAAGGACATTATCCAGTTCGAGCCGTGCTGCGACGGCTGCCGCGCGACGCACTGCGTCAAGCGGCAATTCACGCTGCTGGACCGCGAAGCCGTGCGCTTCATATGCGTCAAGGGCGAGCCCCATTGGGTCGCGTCGGCGCAGGTCCGGCCCTGCTGGTCCTCACTCTCCGAGGTGTTCCCCAACGCCGAGACGCTCTACCTCGACGTCGAGAAGACGGGCCCGACGGCGCTCATCCGGGCCAAGCGCGTCATGGTCCGCGTCCGCCCCGAGGGCATCCTGCACCACCACGTCGCCTGCCTCGCCGCCTTTGAGCTGTGGAAGCGCGGCGAGGGCAAGGACAAGAAGCTGAGCCGCATCGAGCTCGTGAGCGTCTACGAGGAGCGGCCGAGGCGCCGCGGCAAGCCCGACGGCATGCAGTACCCCCGCGCCGTGGTCGGCACAGACAACATCTTCATCATTCGCTAAGCGGGGGGGCTTGGCCATCGCGATCATTTCAAGAAACATGTCGAGGCATGAAAATCCTACCGAGATGTTATATGGTGATGATTTCACGGATATGCTGCGTTTGTAGCTCCCCTTTTCCAGTCTCTGCTTCTTTCCCTGCCTCTATTCCTGCCTCTATTCCTGCCTCTATTCCTGCTTTTTTTTTCTGCCTCTTTCTTCCCCATATTTCATCTTTCCCCTCGCATATTCTTTGCCCTCTCGCCTTCCCTGCCATAGTTGCCCCTTTCTGGTTTCAGAGCCTTTCTTGGCTCATCTCCAACTACGCTTCTGGTTCGGCAGCTCCCGTTGGCTCGTTGTGGCTCGCTTCTTCGCGGGCGCAGCTTCATGCTGCTCACATTGCCTTCTAGACACATGCCATATTTGAAGCATTTTTATTGGAAGGACGGAAGGAAGGAGATGGCATATCAAAGGCGAACCATGAGCACGGAGCACACGACACGTACACACTCGGATGGAGGAATCTCATTTCCAAGCAGTCATGTCACGTTTGCGAGGGCTATTTTAGTTTGCAGCATGCGTTCCCACTCACTCCTTTGCCCTCGTCCCCAAGATTGGCTTGTCTCGTGGTTTCTCTTCAATCAGTACATTTAGTATTCGGCTTCTGACCGAAGCAGTATCTTCCACTCGGATCTTGCTGCCCGGCGCCCGTTGTGGGGTGGCATTGGGCTTTCTAAATAGATGCTGCCTCAAGGCACAGTATCTACTACTAGCTGCCGATTGTCGTCCACTCAACGCGAGCCTTGAATAAAGATCAATCTCTCAAGACCAGAAGAGTGGCAACGTGGTGTCGACGACGGTCGGCGACGCGGCGAGAGAGCGAATTGCTCAATTCATCCAAGCTGCGTCAAATGTAGACCCAAAGGCCTCGGCGAGCTTCGGGATCAAGCAGAGAATAAGCAGGCTCGGGCAATTGCATCCACGCCGCACTCTCGGAGCTGCCCGCCCCTCCATCACCAACGGAATCCAGGCCGAAACTCGGCAAACTGCTGAAAGCAATCGAAATAACGTACATCCTATATGCTTCCTATTTCCTGTGTCGACCCTTGGATTGCTGGGTCCGAATAGATCAATGGCCGAATTCATCGTTGGCCACAGCAACACTCGAAGCCGAGCTTACTCACGCCCTCGAGGCCACTTGCGGTTACTCAGCAAAGCGTTGGCCAATACATCCACGCCGAACCCCCAAAATGCGTGGTTAATGGGTTCAAGTGCCCCTGAGCCCCTGTTGGCACGTTTATCCTGCTGATTTTTTGCGGCTCTTACACTAGACCGTACACGGGTTACGCCCACAGCATGAGGCAGTAGAGCAGGGAATGCGCGTTGGTAGACACGGGCGACGTAATGCTCTCAGGAGAGAGGCTACCGCATTCGGCCGCCTCGGCCTCGACTCGACTGCGGACTCGTAGACAGAAGAAGAGAGTTTGGCGGCATTGTGGGGGACGGCAGTGATGGCCTTTATCAATAGCGGTCCTGGGAGGAGACAAGATGCTGAGAGGGATATAAATAGGGGCGACAGTCGTCCCAGGATTCAGTTGTTAGGTCCATCTCCATCATCATCAAGATCAACTCATCTACCTCACTATCTACCTACCTAGCCATACCTACATCATCCGGATCACCAGCATCTTCCACCCTCTCAACCACCAACTCACCTAAGCCCAACAACACCAACATGGCCATCCCTGAGACTCGAGACTTTGACTTCATTGTCGTTGGTGGTATGTAGACACTGACATCCCGGAAAAGCATGCACGCATCACCCAGGTCAGAAGCTAACCGTGTCCCCACCCAACCAAGTGGCACCGCCGGCTGCGTCGTCGCAGGCCGCCTGGCCGAGAACCTCAGCGTCTCGGTCCTGGTCATCGAGGCTGGCATGGACAACCCCGGCGCCGTGGACGCCATCACGACGCCGGCGCGCGCCTTCGAGCTGCGGGGCAGCAAGTACGACTGGAGCTACAAGACGGGCATGATCGACCGGCCCGAGTACACGCGCATCGAGAAGCCCAACACGCGCGGAAAGGTTCTTGATGGCTCCTCGTGGCTCAACTACTATACCTAGATCCCCGGCAGCGCCGCCACGTACGACGACTGGGTCCCGTACGGCGGCGCCGAGTGGGGGTGAGACGCCTTCAAGCAGTACCTGTACAAGCCTGCAACCTACCACGACGACAAGGGGCTCTACAGCGAGAAGCTGCGGTACATGGGCGCCGGCGGGCCCCTGTCCATATCGCACTCGGACCTGATACCCGAGGCCAAGCCGTTCCGCGACGCGCTCGAGAGGGCCTGGGTCAGCAAGGGCGAGCCCCTGACCGACGACGTGCACGGCGGCACCATGCGCGGGCTGTGGTGGTGCACCAACAGCATATACAATGGGAAGCGCTCGTCGTCGAGCTAGCTGTTCCTCGAGGGCAAGCAGAACGTGACGGTGCTGGGCCACACGCACGCCAAGTGGCGCGCATCGAGGGCGGCAAGGCCGTGGGCGTCGAGGCCATCGGGCCGGACGGCGAGGCAACACTATCGTTCCGCGCGGCACGCGAGATGATCGTGTCGCTAGGCGTGTACGAATCCCCCAAGCTGCTAATGCTCTCGAGCGTTGGGCCGCGGGCGGAGCTAGGCCGGTTCGGCATCGACGTGGCCGTCAAGTCAGCGCACGTGGGGCAGAACCTGCTCGACCACCCGATCTTGCCGCACGTCCTCAAGATCAGAGACGGCTGCGGCCTAGACCGGCACCTGCTGCGCGCGAGGCTCGAGAAAGACGCGGCCGTGTCGGCCTACCGCTGGAAGTACAAGGGCCCCTATACCAGCGGCCTGCTTGAGCTGGTCGGGCTCCCGCGCATCGACGAGCAGCTGGCCGCCTGCCCCGAGTACGCGGCGTACAAGGCGGCCAACGGCGGGGTGGACCCGTTCGGCCCGGGCGGGCAGCCGCACTTCGAGATCGACTTCGTGCCCATGTTCTCGGACGCGCTCCAGTGGCACATACCCTGCCCGCCGGCAGGCGACCACCTCACCGTCATCGTGGACCTGCTGCGGCCGCTGTCCAGGAGCGGGGCCGTGACGCTCAACTCGGCCGACCCGCTCGAGCAGGCCAAGATCGACATCAACTTCTTCTGGCACGACCTGGACCTCGTCGCCATGCGCGAGGGCGTGCGCTGGGTCGACGACGTACTCATGAACGGCGAGGGCATGCGGGATATGATCGAGGGGGACTACCCCTGACCCATGCCGCGCCACAGCGACGAGGCCATGGAGACCATGATCAAAGAGCGGTCCCAGACCGGATTCCGTAAGTGCACAGGCCTACCTATGGCATCCGAGCAGACACCGACTGACTTTGCTTGCCCTCTTTGCTTCTAGACCCATGCGGAACCAACAGGATGGTCAAAAGCATCGACGAGGGCGTGGTCGACGCCAACCTCAAGGTGTTTGGAGTCGATAGGCTTCGGGTGATCGACGCCTCCATCATTCCGGTCATTCCAGACTGCCGGATCCAGATGGCCGTCTATGCCATCGGCGAGAAGGTCGGTCTTCATCTCCCTTGCATCTTGCGCTGCATCCAACCACTTGCTGACAGGACCGTGCGACAGGGTGCCGATATGATCAAGGCGGCCCATCCAGACCTTTACAGCGCATAGAAACGCTGACAGAACCTGGGTTTTCTCGTGGAGGTTGGTTAGAGTATGCAGTGGAACGCGGTGGAACAGATGGTGAGAGTGAGATGTCGGAAGATGTAATTTGACAAGGCCGTGAGATAATTCATTGAGGATGGAACGAGAAAAGCTCTTGAGAGTCACGTGCAGTCACCCGCTGAGGTTTTTGGCATATTTCTAGCAACCAGGGGTCAAGAGCAGCTTTTACCCCCAACTTGATCGGCAAAGTTCACATAGAACGTGTAGATGCTCAGACTAGTAAGACACAAAAAAGACCCCCAGTCAGAAGCATAGCTGTGAGGACGAGGACCTTCAAATCGTAAGAGATGGATGGTAAGCACCCGACCACCACCAAGGGATAAGATCCCTCCGCATGTGGGTGGCCCTACTTGACTCGTTCCAGTCGCCCCGAGGGAGCCGAGCCAAGCCAACAAAGCGCCAAGCAAATGACGAGCTCAAAGCATAATCCCCACATTTTGCTGCTTGGGTATGATAGCGCCAGAGATCGATCGACCAATTCCATTGATTTGAAAATAGCGCTGAGGGGATCCCCCTAGACGCTGTTGCTTGATGGATTCTTCCCAGGTCATCCCCTCCCGGCCTGTATTCTCATCCTTTACCCCCCGCGCTATTTTCCCGACCTAGGAGTAGCAAGATAGCGGGAAAGGGCGAAAATCAGCAGTGGAGACAGAGGCACCAGCTTGACGTGGGGTGACTGATAACTCTTTGAAGAAACAACCCAACATGTCGGACGGCAAGAGGACAGGAGGCTCCGGCAAAGGTGTGAAGACATGGAGTTGCTATTTCGTCAACCCTAAGACCGGAGGGCTTGTACTAACTTCGGTTGCCATCCGGTGCCCTATTAGTGTGGACAACACTCATAACAAATCTGGACTACCTGCCGGGACTGCTGACGCTCGAGTACTCGCTGCGCAAGCACGGCTCGGCATACCCACTGGTGGTCCTGTACACGGACACATTCCCCGAGTCCGGCCGGGCGGCGCTGGCAGCGCGCGGCACCGCGATGCAGCGCATCGAATACCTGCTCCCAACGCGCAGCAGCCGCGACTACAGCGATGACCCGCGCTTCTATGACTGCTGGAGCAAGCTGGTGCCCTTCTCGCTCGAGCAGTACGACCGCGTGGTGCAGGTCGACTCGGACATGCTGGTGCTGCAGAACATGGACGAGCTCATGGACCTCGAGCTCGACGACCCGGCCGAGGCGGCCAAGGGGGACGCCGCCACGTCGAGGCGCGTCCTCGCGGCCAGCTATGCCTGCGCATGCAACCCGCTGCGCAAGGCGCACTACCCGGCCGACTGGGTGCCGGCCAACTGCGCCTTCACGTCGCAGCACGGCGACGCCGACGCGGCGCAGGAGGAGGGAGCGGACCCGGCCAAGGTGCCCATCGCGATGCTCAACGGTGGCCTGCAGGTGTTGCGGCCGAACGGGGCGCTGTTTGCGCAGATCGTCGAGTACATGGAGGAAAACGCGGCGTCCATGGACTTTGCCGACCAGAGCCTGCTGTCGGACCTGTTCCGCGGGCGCTGGGTGCCGCTCCCCTACACGTACAACGCGCTCAAGACGCTGCGCTGGGAGGGGGTGCACGACGCCATCTGGCGCGACGACAGGGTTAAGAACCTGCACTACATCCTCACGCCGAAGCCGTGGGAGGATCTGGACCAGAACGGGGACGCGAACCCGGGGGCCGAGGAGACGACGGGCTGGTGGGCGGCGATAAACAAGGAGCGGAAGGCGAAGGAGCTGGCAAATGGGGTGGACGACGGGCTGTGATTGGGTGTTTTGTCACATATTTGAGAGCACGGTGACGGGAAAAGACTCGTTTGAGGTTGCGTAGCCACACTTTCCAGACAGCTTCGGGAACGTCGGTGCCCGGTGTTTTGTCGCATGTGGCAGGCACTTCAGCTGAGGCAGTTGAAGGAGGGGCAGGCAACCAAGGCAACAACCTCAATAGGCAGCCGCAGGAGCCCCGCCGACCAGCATCCGACAGCTACCTCTAGGCCATGAAAGTCAGTCCAGCCAACGGCAAACGTAATCGCTGGTAATACCTGATCTCTTTTTATGTGACGTGAACGGCAAGCACTCCCCCTCCCACCATTCGCTGCCGACAGCCAGAGGCCAACAGGGCAAGAAAGCACCAGCTGAGGAGCAACCATGTCGGGCGTCCGGACTGCGAGCCACGCGGGGGACTGGTACACTGCCGAGCCGGATGGCCTGGAGCATGACCTCGATAGGTACCTCGACGCGGTGCCTGAGCAAATCAACGACAGCGACCTGCCCGTCAAGGGCGCCAGAGTGATTATTGCGCCGTAAGGAATCCCGTAAAGCCTCTTGTCCGTTTCCTGCGCTTCGGCCGCGTAGACCCCGCTCTTGTCCCCCCCCCAAGCACTGCTTTGACGTCATAGCCTGTTCCCTCCACCACATCTTGATAACTCGGCCGACCCCAAAGCTCACCACAGCCGACGCACCCCTCGGCAACTCACCTCACAGACATGCCGGCTACAGCTACTCGGGGCCCTGCGCCGCCTGGGCCTACAAGGCGCTCGACCTGGGCGCCGCCAAGCGCGTCTTCATCCTGGGGCCGTCGCACACCTACTACCTCTCGGGCGCGGCCCTGACAACGTACGCGGCGTACGCGACGCCGCTGGGCGACCTGCGCGTCGACGTCGACACGGTCGCCGCCCTGCGCGCCACCGGCCGCTTCTCGGACGTGCCGCGCCAGCGCGACGAGGACGAGCACAGCCTCGAGATGCACCTGCCCTACCTGGCCAAGCGCCTGGCCCAGACCTTCGGGCCCCAGGACACGCCCGCCGCCTGGCCGCCCGTGGTGCCCATCGTGGTCGGCGACAACGGGCGCGAGGCCGAGAGGGCTCTGGGCGAGCTGCTGGTGCCGTACCTGCGCGACCGCGACAGCGCCTTCATCGTCAGCTCCGACTTTTGCCACTGGGGCTCGCGCTTCAGCTACACGGCCTACACGCCCGACGGGACCGAGGCCGGCGTGCGCTCGCTCACGCGCCGCGACGCCGCCCCGGACCTCCCCGTGCCCATCCACGAGAGCATCTCGGCGCTCGACCACATGGCCATGGGCGCCATCGAGAGCGGGAGCCACGACGCCTTCTTCGACAACCTCAAGGCCACGGGCAACACCGTCTGCGGCCGCCACCCTATCGGCGTCGTCATGGCCGGGCTCGAGGCGCTTAGGAAGGAGAAGGCTGAATCCTCGGGGCTCAAGGGTGATGGCGTCTTCACTTTTGTCAAGTACGACCGGAGCAGCCTCGTCAACGGCCTCAGGGATTCTAGCGTCAGCTACGGTTCCGCCTATGCCATCATTTGAGGTGGACAGTATCCATGTTGAGACTTTATTGGTTATCATTTGCGTTTGCTAATTTGAGATGGGTTGGCGTTTGGCAGGGGTAGAGTGGACGGGCAGCTGAATCAATGAACTCCGGGGGCCATTTCTCCCGGGAGCCTGTCCGAGCACGCGGCTGATATATCCGGATCATCGCATGACAAAGAGCAACCCTTAAATAGCGGCTTTGCTGCGAGCCGTATGGGTGGCACGACAAGCACTAAAAGCATCTGGGTCCTAATGCAAGATCGCCATTACTAGGCTAATATTTCGCTCCCATGTCTGTCGCCTTTTTGCCAGAGCAGGCGACGCGGGGCTCGCTTGGGAGCGGGAGCAGTGCCGCGTCCACCGACCCAACCCACCTGTTTGATGTTCGGACCGGAGGCTTCAGGTCGTTGGAGCTGATCTGGAGGCCCTAGGAGCTCGCGTGTCTGGTAGAAAGAACCAAGACTCTCCTGCAGGGAGGTCCCACCGCTTTAATCTGTACAAAAGAATGGATGGCATCGCAATTTGAGAGCACTCATCCAGGATAGAACCCCGTGCCTTTGCAGATCGACCATGGAGGTGGCTCCCTCGACGAGTGCATTCCCATGGAGTTGCTGGAAACGAAGAAGAATTCCATAAAAAGGAGCTCCGAGCGGCCGGGGTAGGGATATCCCTTGTCCGCGAGGATCCTGATTTGGCAAAGTGCGGCATAAAAAAGGGATGCGTTTTAACGGCATGGAATGCGGGGATCAAGGGCCAGGGATCCGCCGAGAGCGTGTTTGGGACCAAGCAACAGGAGCAGCCCTCGTTTTCTGGTTTGCCAAAGCCGCCCAACAGATGCTCTCGCGCAGAGCCGCCTCGGCACGCGTGGGCGAGAAGGTTGTCCCAGCCGCATTGGAAGTGTGTGTGGATTCGCGTTTGGATGGGTCCAGCTGGATTCCATTCGCTGACTATCGTGTGTGCTGCGCCAGAGTGAATGACGGTGCCGCGCAGCATAAGGTGGCTGAGGTCTCGATTGAGTGAGAGGCCAAGACAGCGAAAAATAGATTCCAGCACCGCAAGGGATATGCAGCGTCCCGCAGCCTCGGCTGAATCGACGGAAGCCGAGTCTGGGGAGACCAAGTCACGCGAAGGTTTGGAGGGCCGTGGATAGACGACGATTGGATGATCCGATCGTCACATTGAGGTGCATTAGCTAGGCCGGCGTGTTGATGCCATGACTTCCGCAGCCTCGCATTCATTCACTGCCCTCGCTGCCCGGCCGTTCCGCACGGAGGGTTACCAGCAGGGCATGGCTCTCGCCAGGGGTTGATTGATCTGATGTTAATCGCTGCCGCTGTCAGACCGATGAGTTGCGCCACCGTCTCGAATAGTCGAGCCCAGTAATCGGGCATCCATCCCAGCACGCACCAGACGGAAATACCTAACACCCCTCCCTTCCGTGCCCTGACCACGAATGCGGTTCAGCTGGTGCCTTTCGAAATTCCTCCGTTGTCGTTCAGCGATTGAGCCTGTTGATCCAGATGATGAAGCCCGCGCCTGTGGAAAGAGGAAGGCGACTCGAGATGGTTGGTTCGCCCCACACCTGGGCGGCTCTGGCTCGTCTCGAATTGCGAATTGGACTCGGATTTGGTTGGCCTTCGCGAAGCTCTTGCATGCGGGTTCGTGGCCAAGGGGGGGACCCTCCCAGGGATGCAACATTACATTGACCGCCAATAGGACGCAGGGTCGTGAGACAGCGACACTCTTTTGAGCATCTCGTGAGCCAAGACGGAGACGCCCCAGTGGGCAATTTCGCGAGGCTGCCAGAACCACGGACAGCTGGGGCTCGTTGGCTGGTTGGCTGCTCCAGCGAGGGTGAACACGACCAGCAGGAAGCGTCAAATTCGAGAGAAATGAGGCCCACGCTAGAGGCGACGCTGGCGAGGGCGAGGGAGGACTCTATCTGGGGGAACTTGGCCCGCAGTCGTGCCTGGAGCGGGCATAGGGTGGACTGCTGCAGGTAGGGGCGCGCCATGATCGACAGCCAGGCATGAATTGACCCCCTGAAGAGGCGACGGGCAGCGGCGCCAGGGCCACCCAGCCCAGACTCAGCCAAAGCCACCAAGGAGCAAAGCCACCCGGTCCGCATTGGCGTGTGGACGGCGCGTGAACCTTCTCATCCCTGGGTCGGCACCTTTTTTTACTCTTTGACCACCCACAACGCTCGTCAGCCCATTTCTCAGTATTCTTCTTTCTCTCTTTTGGACTCCTTCTTGAATATTGCTTTGTTAATCATTTTCTCCCTTCCCCATTCACACGCAAAACAACGCACTGCCAACAGTTCAATCCACACCAAGGACTCGGCATCGAAATCCAGACACCAACATTAACAACAGACCTTCTAGCCAAGTCAGCTTGCGCCTCCCCCTTTGACACCCTAGCCGACGAAGCCCAGGCAACCCCGAATCCCACAAGGCGAGGAACGTTCGCAGACAGGAGAGGAGACGAGCGTCCTGCGCAGACAGCAGTCTCGCGGTTGACTCCTTGCCACCATGAGTGTTAGTGTTTCACCTCTGCCCATACATGCGTTTCAACGATGGGACCACGGTGGGTCATTGAGAACAGTATAGCTCAGTGATCTCGCCGATTTTGGGCCCGTCTTGAAGTTTTTGACCGTCTTCGCTGTCGTTTCTGGCATTCGTCCACTCAACCCACGCCCTTCTTCGTGTCGCTCTGGAGCGACTTGCTTACTGTTACGACTTTTAACGAACGCTTGCTAATACTAACACGATGAGCCAGTACGGGTCAGTTTAACCCTTTCTCGCGAAACACGCATACACACCCACACCCCTTTGACCCTCAAACTCTCGATTCCGACACGAACGCCAGAGCCCGCGCGCTCCTCCGTGACCGAACCGTCGATCACCGAACGGGACGAACACCGATCGCTGACAGTGTTGTAAATGGACAGATACGGAGGCGATAACAGCAACCCATACGACCAGCGGGACAGCCCCGCTGGCGCCGGTGGCTACAACCAGGGAGCACGACCACCGCCAGCACAGTTTGGTCAGGGCCCCCGCCCAGGAGGTGGTAACAGATTCAACAACGGCGGCGGCGGCAGCCCGGCTATGGGACATGACGATTACGGATGTAGGTTCCCAATCGCACTGGATGGATGAATGCAGGCTGTCCATGATTTGGTGAGGACAAATGGGACATGGGCATGCGCTAACGGCTCTAGCGGCACCAGCGAGCAACGTTGAGATGGCATCACTCGCCCAGAACGCGGGCTCCTTCGCCCAGCAGAACAGCGACCCCAACTTCGTTCTGAACGAGTGCAGGAGCATAGACGAGGGCGTGGGCGGGATCGAGCAGAACCTCAACCAGCTGCGCATGCTGCAGGACCGGTCGCTCAACGAGGCGGACGCGACGGGCTCACAGACGCAGCGGCAGCTGGACCAGTTGTCGTCCGAGACCATGGCCATGTACCGCACACTCACGGACCGGGTGCGCAAGGTCAAGTCGCGGCCCGAGGCCACGAGCGCGCGCAACGCGGCCCAGGTCAACCGCGTCGACCGCCGGCTCAAGCAGGCCATCAACGGCTACCAGCAGATCGAGTCCGGGTTCCGCCAAAAGTCGCGCGACCAGCTCGAGCGCCAGTACCGGTACGTCAGGCCCGACGCCGACGAGCGCGAGGTGCGCGACGCCGTCGAGGACGCGGCCAACGGCGGCGGCCAGATCTTCCAGCAGGCCCTCATGCAGAGCGACCGGAGGGGCCAGGCCCGCGCCGTGCTTAGCAACGTCCAGGACCGCCACGAGCAGCTCAAGAAGATCGAGCAGCAGATGATCGAGCTCGCCCAGCTGTTCCAGGACATGGACACCCTAATCGTCCAGCAGGAGGTCCAGGTCGCCCAGATCGAGCAGAAGGGCGAGGAGGTAGTCGAGAACCTCGACAAGGGTAACGAGGAGATCCACGTCGCCGTCGAGACGGCCAAGAAGACGCGCAAGAAGAAGTGGATCTGCCTCGGCATTGTTGGTAAGTTGACCTCCATCGAATCCTTTGCCGAGATTGCTCTTGCCTCGTTACTTACCCGCTCTTCTGTTCAATAGTTGCCATCGTCGTCATCATCGCCATCGGTGTCGGTGCCTGGATCGCCATCAACAAGCCCTTCGCCCAGCCCGCCGCCGCCTCCCCGGCCGCACCAGCAACAACCACCGCCGCCGTCGCACCCGCCAAGCGCTCCGTCGTCAAGTTCAACGGCGAGCGGCCCGTGTCCGCCGTGTACGCGCAGTCCAAGATCGTCTCGGGCAGCGCCGGCGCCAACGTCGTGCCGCTGTCCCACTTTGCCGGCCGCGCCCGCGAAATCGTCCGCCGCTACGTCCTCGCCGCCGAAGAGAAGCCCGCGGTCGAGCCCGAGCAGAGCAGCAAGTTCGGCGCCAACGCCATCAACCTCGGCGGCGTCGGCGGTGGCGGCCGCTTCAACCTCGAGAGCCTGGCCGCCGGCGTGCCGACCAAGACCAAGACCAAGCGCCTGGCCCTGCCTCTCGGCCGGTCTTTTGACGTTGAGACGCGCTCGCTTGTCCCTGGGCGGAGCACGCCGCGCATGATCGAGTCTCAACGCGGAAATATCTGAGTTTTTTTTTTTTCCTGCTTGAAATCCCCTTGTTAGCATTTTTGTTGTTGTTCGTTGTAGTTGTACGACAGAAAGCCTTTTTTTATGTCCTTTTTGCTTTGTTCTTTGCCGGTTCGGGGACGGGAAGCTAGCTTGAGATCAAAGATGGGCGGCGTGTTAGAAACCCCCTGGCTCGTTCGCTCATTCTTGGAGATATCACAATATCAAGCAAACCTTCTCGGCCAGTTCTCTTTTGTCGCCTATACACATCACACCCATCATCCCACCCGCGCGCATACCCCCCCAACAAGACGGGGGCCTTGTTTTGCCTTTGTCATTTCCTGCGGCCATTTTCAATTGCATTTCTGTTCTTTTTTTCTTTTTGTCTTTGCCTCTCTGTCTCTAGGACCAGAAGAAAAGAGGAGCACGGTGATGCGGTGGTGGAATTTGCAAACATGGGGCTTGCCGCCTTGTCTTGTTGGACAGAGGGAGGGAGAGGATTGACAAAAGAGACTCAACATGCAACCCCCTGGTGAACAAGGGCGGCAAAAAAACATATCGCGGCTTCATTAGACTTTGTTTGGTTCTTTCTGTTTCTTGTTGCTGTTTTGCATTTTCACATTCTGAATATTTTTTGGGAGTCCCTTGGAGGCATTACCGGCGTTTAATTGAACCTTCCATTCTTGAGCAGATTTGAATGTCACTCTTTTGCTGTCGTGTGGAACAGATGCCTCCGTCTGCACTTCTATCGATTCCGTCGGAGCCAAAGGCCGTGGCAAGCCAGCAAAGATTTCAAACGACTACCGTTATGGGAAACAAACACTTCACAACGTATTTTCCAAAGCACACTGTAATGCAGACCTTGGGGCCAGCTGATTCTACCACATGGCTCAAGTTGGCTGAGGGCAACTTAAAGCAAGCTATATAATCAATGAGTTTCACCATAACACCAGACACCTAAAGCCGAAAAAATAGGGACAGACTAGAACACGATCCAAGATAAATAGAAAAAGATTGTTACAGACTAAAAGCGAAAAAGTGTTGCTCTCAGCGGTTGGAGAGGGGATTGTCATGGCTCGTTCAAAACATCATGCAAGAAAACAGAACGCGAGAAGTGAAAGAGGAGAGGAGAGGCGAAAAGAAAGAATGGAAATGAGAAAACAGCCATACGGCTTCGGGCTGTATGCGTTGTGCCGGTCATCTGTTTGGGCCCGGGCAAGGAGTTTATCTTCACTGAGAGCTTGGTCTGCAGGCGGCTGTGTGGTGTTTGATATGAATATTAGTGGTTAGGTGCCAGGGGTTGTCAGGTCGGATTTGTTCGATGTCTGAGCGGTTCTTTCGTTTCACCGTCATGATAAACACCAGGAATCGCAACGTAAAACTGGCACGTCTGGACGGCGGACTAGGCGGGTGTGGTCGGTCCTGTTAGGGGTTCGTCGTCGAAGCTCGGCGTTGCGACCGTCCACGGGCAAGCAAACCACCTTGTTCTATATCGCCGCTGCCAGAGTCTCGATGAGGGGCTCACGAGCCTCGCCTCTGATCCAACGCCTCCCCAGCACCCTCCCCCGCCGCGGCGTTCGTCGTGTCGGGGTTGGCTCTGTCGGCCTCCCGCTGCGCCTTGGCACCGGCCTCAAACGCCTCAACTACACGTCTCATGACATCCATGCGGCGGTCAAAGTCCTCGGCGAGCGCGACAAACTCCTCCGACCCGCCCGTGATGGGGGCGCCGCCCCCGCGCGACCTGCCGCTGCCGCTGCTAGCGCCAGAGTAGGCGAGGCCGCCGCCGCTTGCCGAGGGCGAGGTTCTCTTGAGCGCGGTCGCGGGGAATCTCGGTGGGCCCTCGGCGCTGACGCCCTCGATGCGGAGCACAAGGTGACCGTCGGTCGCATCGTCCTCCCCGGCTCCGTCGTTCCCGGGCCCGCTGTCGTCCATGTTACGCGACAGGCTGGCGCTCGTGACTGCAAAGTCGGCGCTTAGCGAATTGGCGGCGGCGATGGAGAAGCCGGGCGCCGCGCCGTTGGCGCTCGGGACTAGGTCGAGGAGGATGGCGCGGTCTGGGGGCCTGCCGGTTCGCGGGTCGACGGGCAAGGGGAGCGCAAACGAAGCCGAGTCGAGGGGCGGATGGTGGGCTGCGGCCTCGGTCAGGGCCTCGGTCAGAACGTCGGGGTTGTCGTCGGCGAAGATGTAGTGCACGCGCGGGTGGTGCGTTGTACGGGTGGTGCCATCGTCCACCAGGGCGAAGACGGGTGTGAAGCGCGGCGGGATTGGCGGCCGTGTTGCGGCCTCGGCGAGGTGGTGGCTTAGCTGATCGGGCCTGACCTCATGCTGGGGCTCGAGCGACTGGCGCTGTTGCTGGGGCGGTTGACGCTGGTGTTGGCTGCTGATGGAGGCCTGGCCCGACGATGGCCGATTTGCGATGCCTAGAGACTGGGGCTGGGTTGCCGAGTTGGAGGAAAGGCGGCGCCTCTCGGGCCAGTGGGATATGCCAGGCCCTCCAGGCCCTCCGGTCTGTGGGAGAGCGGGCGACTGGGCTGGCGAGACGCTCTTGTAGATGGACGCGGCAGGGCTCTGGCCCGACGACACGGCCTCGGACGACACGCGACGAGTGGGATCGGTCATGTTGGACGAGAGGGTCGGGCGGGGCTGTTGCGGGCGGTCGGAACAGGCGACGAGACTGTGGGGACGGCGGCGGCAAGGACAGAAAGACGGCAAGGCTTGGGATGCTGTGGCATATTGAGAGGGGAGTCTGCTTTGTTTTGCTCGTGTGGTTTTGTTTGGCTCCGGAGCAACCTTATTATATTTTACAGTACCTTGTGTTCCCTGAGGTCCGACAGGACCGGTGAGGGCCAGTGCCCAGACGTCAGACGCACCAGCGAGATGCACGCGATGCAGCAGCAGGAACCGGCCGGCGGTGGGGATCGTCGCGTCCAAGACAGGGCAGACGCGGAGGCAGGAAGGACCGTGATTTGGCGATGGGCGGCGGTGGGATTTTGTTGAGTAGTGAGGCTGCCACACCACGGCCACAGCTTTGGTCTGGCGGTGGTGGTGCCTGGAGTCTAAATTACGTAGCACCCGACCGGGGATTGGAGATCCCAGTCAGGTCTCGCGCGTCAGAGCTGTCAAGCGGGTGACAGAGTGCAGGTACTTTTGGGGGGTTCTTGGATGGTTTCTGAGGCGAAAATACCTGCAACAAGAGCCGTAAAACACTGCAAGCTGATGATTTCCCATCTCTATCCTACAATCTCGTTCGACTCCATTCAATACCTATCCTTTCATTGTGCTTTTGTTGAAAGAAACCGAGCCTCAGTCTGGTGACAAGTACAAGTACCGCTCGCTGCCACGTGACGGCGAGTCATACCTGAGCGCCCAATTAAGGATTTCGGAGCTTCCATGGCTGTTCTGAGCGCCGCCGACGGACTGAGACGAGATGAGATGCTGGCTGCGGAGCTCTCGTTCATGAGAAATAAATACAGCAGCTTTTGTTGGTAGCTTTTCACTCGGAACAGTCCATCCATATTCCAAACCGCTCGAGAACGATCTCATCCTCAACCGTGAGGCACCCATGCTTGTCTTTACGACTACGGCCCTGCCTCTAGCTGCTGTTGGTTTCTTGGCGACGATGCAGCGGGTTGTCCTGGCTGTTCGTTCCACTCAAATTCTATTTGTGGCATTAGTCAGTGAGTTCGCTATGTTTTTAATCGCTTGAGCTTCATCCAGCCTTCGCAGCGAGCATGATAGGCAGCGAGCTCAGCAAAAAGGCTCAACTTACTCTGGCGACACATGGGACATTGCCCCTTGGCGGATTCCTGCTTTATCCACTCGAGGATGCAGTGCTAAAACAGGTAGAGGAGGGTTAAAGTTAGCTTTCCGGGTTTGTGTTTTCTTGCTGCGGAACGGCGGGTGCCGCGCCAGGTGGTCTTCGCGAGTTGAGCGTTCTCGGGCTGGCCAACACATATGGGACTAGGGCTGTACCATGTGAAAGTTGTGGCCGCATTTTCCAGACACTGGTACCATGGATTAGCGAGCGAGTGACGCGACGAGCCCGGGGCGCCGAGGGGCAGCACCCTGCGGACCGAGAG